TGGTTGGTAATATGAAATCTACATATACTAAAACTTCTGCACAGGTGAGTCTCATAGCTTTTGTTATTAACATACTGATAAAAACAATAGTATAGTAGTATTGTCATTATTAAAGTTTAATAGTCAAAGTGAATGATAAAATCAAATTCTGCACGTACACACTCATTTTGGAAGATTGTTGCATATGACTACTGCAGAGTTTTCCGTGGGCCATTGGTCATATTGTATCCTGAAAAATATTTTGATATTGCTTCATTTAGCATCAAGATCTTTAATTAACAATATTACTTGACTTTGTTTGGCTTACGATACTAATGTACTATAATAGTAAAACATTTCTATCGATTTTACTCTCTTATAATCCCTTCATGCCTCTATTTAAAGTTTACACAATATTTAAATAAAATATTTTTATATGTACTCTGATTAAGTTGAAATTTTATTCTATGAAATATTTTTAAATATTACAGAAAATGCTGGATACATGGTGCAGAATGAAATATTTAGACAAAGAAGACACAAATTATGTGTTAGGAGTAAGAACAATTCATGAGTTTGAGGGATATCTTCGAGAAAACATGGCTGACTCTATTGAAGAATGTTGTTTGTGCAAACAAATTGTGTTACGGGTATGCATTCATTAAGCTATAATTTTATTGGCTGAACCAGAAAAAAAATTATTTGTTTAAATAAAACTTTGATAGATCAACTAACTGTGACCCATGGGTTTGCATGCAATAATTGACTTGAATAATAATATTTTTATTTTGAATAGATGTACAGTGTCAAAAGTTTTTTTTATACATACAAAGACAATATAGAATCATAGCTGTGTTCATGTTCTAGGTTGCAAGCATTGTGCCAGCTGTTATCAGCCCAAGACAAATTAACTATCCAACAAAAAAAAAAAAACTTTTAATTTGAATTTTGAACTATTAGGTTCTGAGAATAGTGTTGTGTGAAAATAAAATTGTCAGTGTAAATTCACTACTTCCTTCACCATAAATATATTTTATACACATTTTAAAATTCATTGGGGTTTTGACCTACACAGCATTTTCTAAAACATAATTAAGTTTTTGAACAATATAAATAAAACTGATATCTTGCAGAAGAATTTTGTTTGTGTATAAGTCCATTTTTGAATATTTATCACAATTGAAAATACAATTAGCCTTTTTTGTCGTTAAATTTTTTGAAATACCATTAGACAAATAAAAAAAAAACAGTTTTTTTTTAATTTTGACAAACAAACGTTTCAGGGATACAATTGCATTGGCTGTGGTAATGCGGTCCATACACGTTGTATAAACAAATATACAGAGAGAGTGAAGAAATGGCCTTGCTGCAAGATTGAATTCAGCGCTGATCATCTGGACAGAGTATATTCACAAAGGTAAACACAAAATATCTAATACAAAAAGATAAAAAATTTACACATTCATACTAATATTATAAAAAGGTAATGTTTGAGAGGTAGTAATAATCTATGAATCGACTTAACTGATTTTGAAACCTTTACCAATAGGAAGGTACCATCAGTGAGTGACAAAGACTATATAGTGCAATATATATCTTGAATGAAGATATTTGTGGTAGTGTGATTTGCAAAACAATGCTTTACGGATTCTTATCCTTATTTATTCTGGGTTTCACCTATGGAATATGCCCCGCGCCACCATATTTTGTTGTTAATTCGTTTGTTGTCGAATGTAAATTGATTGTTTTGATGAATGTAAATTGATGTCGTGTTGAAAGTAATTCACAGCTTTAGAATTAGTTATATGAACTTTTTTTGAACTACTTTTTCAAGTTTAATTTATGTTTGAGGAGAAAATTGTTACGTTTCTGATTTTTTTATTTTGATACAATTTTTTTTACCATGTGATGTCAGAATTATTAATTACCTACTAAGTAATGAATAAATACTTGATGTCACAATTCTTGAAGTGCATTAAGTTTATTTGACTGATACCCGTGTTTCATTCCTAACTCTGTGGACATAGAACGGTCTACTATAAAGCCAACCAATCAGGGACAGCCTACGGACAGTTAACTTTCGTAACGAGAATTTATGAAATATTAGTATTTTATAATTTATGCAAAATAATTTATTGAAATCTCAAATGACGAATTGTAAATTAAAATGTCACGTGTTTTTATTATTGAAGAAATGAATTTTAAAAATATAATTTATAATTTGTATATATTAAATTCCTAACATATCTTCCTTTTTCCCTATCTCTAAATCTAAAGTTTTAGATTTGTAAAAATATGAACAAGAGTTAAAAATTTTGTTTGCTAAAGAAGTTTCACTTCTGACATGATGTGTACTTTGTCCAGGACAACATCTGTCGGATCCGCTAGTAGTCTTATAATATCCTCATCGGTAATGGTCACTTCATGAACACATTATTTCACAATAATTAATTATGTATTGTTTTTTAACTGACATCAAAAAAGGAGTTCATTAATTTGACCCCTAGATCAATAGATCAGTAGATCTAGGCAAAGCACATAAGTCTTTTTTGTCAATGTATATTTTTCCACAAATTTCTCGTAAACTAAAAGCACATCGATTATTATAATTTAAATAGTTATAGTAATTTAATAGTTCAAGTTTCATCAAGGTTTATTCGTTTTTGAGATATTTACAGTTAACTAAAAAGTAGTCTCAGTTCCAGGTTAACACAGAGTCAGTCGAACACGGTACAAGATGAAATAAATACAGATAGTTCACACGAAAATTCAGAGGAAATGACACAAGAGATCTCCACCCAAGAGATTATACCGGAAATGTCTCAACGCGGCACACGGAAACGTAAGAGAACAGATCAATAGGTACACATGTAATGTAATTTTCATAAGATTTTTTATTAATAAATAAAATAATATATTATTTAATACTAACGGTCATTATCGCATTGCTGTTAATTAAAAAAAAAGGGTGCGTATACTTATGTACGCGCGTAAGAAGTTATACTTCTTTGGTATTATTAAAAATAGTTTTTGATTGCATGCAAATAATTAATTACAATTAAATAATCAAAGACTGGAATAGGAGTCATTATAGTCAATAAAGTTCAGTTTACATTTGAAGAATTAAATAAATAAATATTTATTATTATTCTCTTACATTAAGTGTAACATAAATTCTATTATTATTCGAATGTTGTTTTTAAATTATGTCCAATGCCGTAGCATCTTCCGTGGGCAACTTCATTCTGTTAATTTTGTGATACGGTGCGCGCGCATCGTAAAATTTCACTCTCACCAATTTTTCATAACGCGCCTAAAGAAGTATAACTTCAAAAAATACATAATTTATATAATCTACATACGCCTGTAGGTCGCACAGGTAGTATAGTGGGTATTTCTCACCCAGTGGGACAGGGTATGCACAAATGTATTTTCACCTCGGTCGAATTTTCTAGATGAAGAGAAGTGAGACTGGTGGAAAGATCACGTCCTAGGCCGAGAGCAAATTAACATAATTTTTCCTTGATTTGAATGCCTTGCCTTAACAAGGCAAGGCACACGTCGCCTGAGAGCCCATCTTAAGGGCGTGCGTGTGCGCACTCTTCTGATTAGCAAACGGCTTTGAGTGTACGTAGTCGGTCCCAAAGTTCTGTCATAATGGAAATAATGATAAAAACAAAAGTACTGATCAGTTTGTAATGAGTGATATATCAATTCTTAGTACATTAATTAAGGAATAAAAAAGCATAAAAATATTCGAAATAACCTCCTCATTTTTAATACAGGCCCTTAAGCGTGGCAGTCGTCTATCGCAGCACGCACCATATTCGTGTCGATTTCAGTCACTGGTTTTTTAAAGATGACTTCAGATTCTCCAAATTTTCATGAGGTTTATCACAGACCTTCCTCTCTAAGCCCTGTCATAATTTCTGTCCAAATTAAGGTCCGACTGGAGGAAGGCCAATCCTCATGTCTAATTAAGACGATGTTTTGACGCTCAAACAGGCTTTAGTGGTCTTGGCTTTAGAACGCAATCCTGCTAACACGAAGTGATTCCCAAATAGGGTGCTGGACATGTCTTTGACAAGGCGATACAAAACCGTCTCTTGTAATGTAGCACTGGTTTTGACCCCTTTTCGAAAAAATTAACCTCAGTTAGCCCGTAATAGACACTCCCAACCAAACCATTACTATATGGATGATTCCATTTGCACCCTTGAACTTTATTTTCAGCTTCTTCAGAACTCCTAGCGTACACTTATAATTCTGTTTATTGTACTTCTCTTCAATATGAAAAATTTTTGTCCGTAAAGAGGATATAGTTTTTTTCCTACCGCTTAAACAACACCCGGATCTCTTAAGCCTTATTGTTTTAGACGAGCATTAATAATGCCCATCTTTTTTGTATGCTCTAGACCAAGATCTTATTTAAAACCTTTTACTGTTTTCCTACTGACACCCATCTGCAAATCCATCAACTTCTTTCGGACAGATTTCTTACTATCCGCGCCTTAACTTTGATTACTGTTTTTGGAGTGGCACATTCTCTTTCCTCAACACTGGAGACTTCAAGGTACCTATCAATAGTACCGTACACAACCTAAGCGTTATATTCAAATTTTTGAGCAACTTGAAAATGGTACTGGTGTCCAAGCGGTGCAACGCACTACAACTATTCGGTTTACTTTCAATGTCCACTCCATCGTGAAAAATTACGGAAAGTTATTGTTTTTGTTTTAAAACAATAATCAAACATTCCAAATTAGAATGCAAGAATTTTTTTATAAAATTCCTGCTCGAAATGTAGAAATAATGTCCTAGTGACAGAACTTTGGGACCAACTACGTATACCCATCCCCACAGTCAACGCGACAAGTCTAACATCCGGGCCGCGGGCCGGCGGATGCGAATTTAAGGCATTCTAATCTTAAAAATATTTAAAGAAAAATAGGTTAAATTAAACAAAAATACAAATCTTTTCTCTTTATAATATTAGTATAGAAAAACATTAACTATGTTTATTAAATCGCTAAATAAACATTTTCTACTTTCCGTTGTACTAATTTCGCCGACTTTGGGTAGAAGTCTAGTAGATACTTCCATTCTTCTAACTTTAAGTACACGATGTCTACTACTGTGCGCGCTCTAAAGGAGAAATGGTGTGCAACTCCAACAAATAGACCCTGAAATGATGTTTCTATTTAACTTTGATACTTCTAAGTCTGCCAAAAAAAAAAATATAGCCGTATTATTAAACGTGTTTAGTAGTAGTTAGTGCGATTTATGAACTTTAATGACGTCATTTAAATTCAGGAAAACTTCCCTGTTATTTTAATATACAATTTTTCACAAGTGACCAAAAGATGGTAGAAAGTAGTCTGTAAAGTTTAGTATACGAAATATTCGTTGACAAAAAGACTATTTAAAGTCCTACCAGTAGTAAAGAATATATCTTGTAAATGCTTTACGAACCTGTGCGACGCCAAAACTATCTTCGGGTCCTAATATGTCATAAATTGATTCCGTCAAATTTGGATGTACCGTCAATACTTCTACCTATATGATTAAAAACTAAATTAGGTTTTTTTTGGGGTAAAAGGGCGGGATAAAAAATTCTAAAATTAACTATATAATCGATATTTTAACTTGGTACAAAATAAAAAATAAATATGATATTATTTTACATTAAAAATTAATGTCTTAGGGTCCTTTAAGAAAAGAGCGTACCAATTCTTAAAAGGCCGGCAACGCACTTGCGAGCCCTCTGCCATTGAGTGTCCATGGGCTCATGTGTCACTTTACATCGGATGAGCCTCCTGCCCGTTTGCCTGCCCTGTTCTATAAGAAAAAAACTTATTGAATACTGATGTTTTCTTAAGCCTGGATAATAGCGTATTCGTTACTATTACGCTGTTTCTTGATGTATGGTACAAATTCAGCAAGATTTATAAAAAAGAATTGTCTTTAATTTTCTGTATTTAAATATTTGCGTGGTCCGAACACCCTATAGTGTTAGTGAGATACCCCAGCAAGGGTACTATGTAACTCGATCCCGCGATCTGTACCACGCGATCCCAAGAACAAGCGAAATAACTAATCAAAATTGTACTATTGGATGTGAGACAGATAAACTGCCTAGAGTCTTGCTAATGAAAGAAGATAATTAATTTATTTGAAAACTTTCGGATGGCAACACAGAATGTCATTGAATGTCTTAGGTTAGTATGATTTATTGTCTTGATACTTCATGCAATTACTCATTTTTATTTTTACTATATATTTTTTCCGAATAGTTAACTGGTATAATAGCCTAAACTTTGTTTTATTTATTTTTTGATTCTGATTTTGATTATTCCGAATAAAGTTGTGTTTAATAATAAATATAGTTTAAGCTTTCAATGCTAGTAATTTTAAGTATCAATAGTAAAAGACTAAATACGTATAGTATTTAATTTCATAGAAATACAGTTACTATCAATGTAAAAAATAATAAAATATAATCAAGTAAGTTTAATCCACGAAATATATCAAACTTTTAGGGATACCATACTAAATTTTTGTGAATTTGCCGCGCTTTTTCGTTATCTTCTTTCATTAGCCTCTATCTAAAAATTACCCAATATCCCAATAGTTATTACCTCTCCCCTATGGATGAAGTAGATACATTGATCGGCATCCCCACATTGCACAATATAATTCCCGGGGAAAAACACACAATGCCTCAGCCACATACATAACATTCGTTTGAAGTCATCGTCCGTCTTACTGAATATCACGGACTCTCTAATGTGGCTGCCATATACCGCTTGCATTATTTGACAACGCAGACGAAATGGTAGCCTCGTCACTAATTTTGGCATCTACGACAAAATTATAGCTTATTTATTACATTAATAAAATAATTGTACGAAAATTTCCTTAATGATACTTATTAAATTTTTAATCAATATCTAAGATCTCTTAACAATACTTTGAAAACTTATAATATTAAATCGTTAAACGATTTCTATGGTATCGTGTTGCTATCGCGTTTTACACGTCTAAACGCCTAAACGCCATCTGTTGATGAAGAATAAAAATGAAACGATCAATCTAGTAAATGTATATTTTATAATAGGTTAATAGGTTGCCGATAAGAATTTTAGGCAATAATTTTTTTTTTATTCAAAGTGGCGTTTGTGTTTTGGATGAGCTTATAAGCTGAACAATTATGTTACACAGAAGGATAAAGTCACAAGAAAGAAGTGACTATTTGATACCTTATTTGTTCCTTTTATCACATTATATTTCAAAACTATCTCTTAAAAAAGATGTTGCAACATTTTACTTGTTCCTTGTCATATTCCACAATTTCTTACATAGGCCCAACTAAGTACATCTGGTGATCAGCCTTTGTATGCCTGAAACCATCCCTGATTTCTTGGGTGATTTGTCCTTCACTATATGCGATCGTGATGAATAGTGCGCCTAGTAATACCATTAGTTCTCAAGCTCTGATGCACAAGGAGTCCTGAACGGACGACCTACGCAGTTGGCACCACAGGCGCTGCATTAAAATAAGGTATTTGTTTAAAACTTGGATATAGCCTTCAGCGGCAATTTTTTTAATACAGTCAACAGTCGGGCGAACAAATAGACGTTCATATGACGTTGTACTCGCTCTTATTTAACGCAAAAATTGTAGCTGAATTTGTCGACGGTTTCAGACAATTAATTTCATCTCTATTATCTATTTACAGTATCTGAAGCCTCCTGAATAAACTTGAAGCTCCAGTTTCTATGTATTGGATCTTTAAAGCTGTCCACTTTAAAATAAATATTGCCGATATTTTACCTCCCTGCCCTGTTGTCTACTACAATTGCTTTTGGACATAAGTCCCACATCTTATATCAATAAATCTAGTAGTTAGTCCCAAAGTTCTGTCACTCTCACACTATTTCTATCCCTCAGCAGGATTCTATAAAGTATGCCTTCTATTTTGGAATGTTTGACCATTGTTTTAAAATAAAGAAGCAATGACCTTCATAAGTTCTCGACGTCTCTGATATTGAAGGAAGACCTGAAAGGAGTTGTTACTCAGTTGTACCAGAGATGGCGCTGGCCAGTACATTTTAAGATGTAAGAGTATTTTATTATAAAACTTAGGTTTTTGATGGTACTAGTGTTCGGACCCTGAGTCTCCAGTGTAGGATTCAAACTGGCCGGCGCACGCCAATAGAACTCTAGCAGTAATCCAAGCTATCAAGTGCGCATTGTAATCGCAAGTCGGTGAAGAGAAAACGATCGTGTAGGCAGACTGGCTGTCAGTAGGAACACAATAAAAAGGTTTTAAAAATCATTTATTTATATAGGTATACACAAAATGGAACTACTTAATGAACGTCTAAAAGAAATATACATTAAATGCGGGTGTTGTTTATTCGTACGTTTACCGCCAGTTCTCAAATCTTAAGGGCGTAAAAATCGGAAGAGAAGAACTGGCAATAAACTCTTTGACACTTGTTTACGCCGAGGAGTTTTTTAGAAGCTAAACATAACGTTCTTAAGGAGCTGCAACCATTACACCATGTTCCATCATGACACTTGATTGAATTAATAATAACTAAAGTACATTTTTAAAACAAAACAGAGCTTAAGTCCTCTATCACCAGCAGGTGATGGATCGCCTTGAAATACCTGTCCACGCACCCTATTTGCGGGAATCACTTACAGTTCGACGCAGTGTCTGAGCTGCAGAAGAGCCATGACCTACTGAAGCCTGGTTTGAGCGTACAGAAATCGATTTAAGTCCAGACCTGAGTTGGCCTTGCTCCACTCGGTCTTTCTTTGTACTTGAATTTATACAGTCTTAGAAGAATCGTGCAAAATATTGTCCAAACCTAGTTTAAGTCTGAACAAAGCTTCTTTAAGTACTCAATCAATCTTTAAATAGACATGAATATGGTGCGTACTGCTTGATAGTCGACTGGCCGCGCGCTTAAGGGCCTGTATTAATATAAGGGAGGTCGATTTCGAATTAGTTTATGCTATTTATATTCCTGTAATTGAGATGTACAGGAATTGTCTATCAGGTCCTTAAAAACTATCCCGTACTTTTGTTTTTATATTATTTCCATTTAAGACAGAACCTTGGTCCTACTACGTCCATATAAATAATTTTGAATTCAACTCCTCCGTAGCCTATCAATTTCAAATAAATTGTTCGTGTATAGTTTGTATAGATGTACAGAACGTCTGTCGGGTCCAATGACCTTATTTTAACTATACAAACCCAGTTCCTTAATATTAATTCTATACCCTGCAATCAACTTAATTTAAAAATGAGATTCTCTGTACCTTAGTATAAAGGAATTAGATTTGTCAACTGGATTTTATTATCATAGACATGAATACAAATATTTCATTTTGCCTTATTACTTCTGAAATTGTTATGAATTTTATTAAATCTAATAGGCAAGTAGTTATCTAGCCTCATGTGCTGAAATGACGTGACGATTTTTTGGGTACAAGGACATGTCGGTCTCCTACGTCGATAAAGTAGTTTCATTCCAACGCACGAGAAAGAAGTTAAATGCCACTTCAGAAAGCAAGTCCATTGGCGCGTAACCGAACATGTAACGCGTCACGATAAAATTTTTATTTTTTTTTTATGACCATCGACACAAGAAGTTCAGTCCCATAAATAAGCTGGTACAACCTTGTGTTATAGGTACTGGGCAACGGATTCTCAATCTATTTCGATAGATCATTTTAATACATATTTAAATACCCAAGACCTGATCAGCAACACCAGATGCCTACATCACATCGACTTTTTGGTCTCAGGACATGTCGGGTTCCGTAACCCGGATGTTTGGCTTCACCGTACAGGGAGTGCTAAATGCGCACTGAAGAAACCAATGGCCGTCAAATCGGGGATCGATCCTACGACCTCAGGGATGAGAGTCGCACGCTGAAGCCACTAAACCAACACTGCTCTATTTTATATAAAGACCGATACAAAAAAGCATACCTGTACAAAATTTAATAACTATAGTGATGAAAACGGTTTCGATAACTTCGAAATCATTTTGTGACGACACATCACCTGTTCCAGTGATTGTAAGCAAATTTATTATGTACCACAGTGACGCAACGTAAAGAGGGAAATAGTTTTTCTGAAACAAAATGTAGACGAAAATCATTGCACGTTCTGTTGTGGATAGCGTCTCCAAACCAATTCTTAGGGTCCTTCAAAAACGGAGCGTATATTAAAAATCCGGAAACGCACTTGCGAGCCCTCTGGCTGTAATTGTCCATGGACGGACCTTTTAACGTCCATAAACCTGCTCGCATCCAATAAAAAAAATGTGTGCGTGTACTAGTACTAGTACACACGTAAGAATTAACAATTCTTTATGACCCTATTTTCCGAAAAATGATCAACAACTTTACAGAAATTAAATAAAGTTTTAAAAAAATTAGATAAAGTTTAACCAAAGGCTTTTAGGTTTTTATTAGAAATGAATACGAATAATACAATTATTTCATTTTACTACTAAGATTATTACAGCATTTCATTAATTGTAATATTACTATCATTGTTATCGTTATTGTATATTTTTGTTATTAATGGCTTCGAATCAACCGTGGCAAGAAAAAGATGGCGTGTAACGGAAAAATGTGACGCGTAACCGAAAAATGTGACGGTAAATTTTTTTCCAAAGCCGATAAAGAAGTTTCACTTCAAAAATATCTAAAGTTTATTTAAATAATTATTTTAACTATAAAGACGTTACCTCAGCATACTTAGCGCGTAGATTTAGCTCAGGCTTCGACATCCAGTTGGCTGACGTACAATGCACAGGTGTGAGGCAAGACAATTTGAAAAACAAACACGCGTTTATATGCGATAATATCGAGGCCCATATTGCAATTGTTCTGTTGAGAAAACCTCTAGTTAATTCCGATTGAGGATAGATTGCTTTAGTTATTCTGATACGTATTTTGATACAGCAATTGCTACTAAGCCTGTGACTTCATCAGTGTTGAAGGATAAGTATGACAAAAACGAGATCAGATCTCGCTGTTTCTTTGATTTTTTTTATTTACACTTTTGCACAATAATTAAATAATATTAACAATATTAATGTATTAACAATAAACTTAAAACCTCAATTAAAGAAAAGTAGAATAAGAATTGTGACAAAGTAATTAATTAAAGGCAATTAAAATCTTAGGTAGTACTTTTGAATAGGAACGTGACGTATATCAGTGGTAGCTTGTTATATAAGATTTTTAAGCTAGACTCAGCGCTATTCATACTCACGTACGTCAAAAATGTGGATTTTGACAAATGGAAGCCATAGCTAGTCTCAAACTATAAGCTAGAATTAATAGAAATCTCTTTCTTTCTAAACAGTGGTACAGTTGAATAATGTTATTTCAGTAATTACAAGCCATTTACTGTAGGCCCTTTCCCTAGTTATAGCTTTAACATATAATACTCAATATACATTTGATTATTCTATCGTTTTAGCTATTTGTATTAAAGTTTTCTCTATACCTATGCGATGTAGTGTCAAAGCAAGTCACGCAACATGATTTAAATTTTCTCGATTATGTACTGGGTATGTATTATAAATACGTTAAAACAAAACGAATTCAGTAAAAAGTAATCTAAAACATATTGGCTAATATAAACATTAAATCGCGCTTTTTATTGAAAAATAATGATTGCATGTGTGTGGGTTTGTATTCCTTATATAACGTGTGACTCACTTTGTATCGACTATCGCCTGTGTGGGCGAGCGATTTGTCAATACTTTTAATTTACCTACAAGTTTTATATGGTAAATGTTTGTTTGTAGATAAAGATTTATTTGGCCATACTTATGTATTATTAATAATACTCATTAAACAATTCGTATAAAAAATGCAAAGCTATCAGAAAACCTGGCCCTATCGCGAACAAGTGATTTTCAGGTAATGATAGTATAAAAATAACGATATAAGTAAAATCAAAACACTAAGCATATAGTATGTACTATGAGTTAAAATGTCCCTCACTAAAGATCATTTATTTCTTGGAAATAATAAAAATTTTGGTAATGCAAACCCACTGAGGATTTACGCCCGAATACTCCGAAGCTTCATGTGTAAAGCTTTCGCTGGATGTATCAGTTAAAATGTATACTCACGTCAACTTAAGTAACAAATTAGCAGTCCCAATATTTATTTTCCTATGCTGACGGTAGGTAAATAAATACGTTATGCGAAAAAGCTGTGGGGTCCTCAGATAGCAAAATAGTGCATTTTGCATAGTTGGTGTGAGATTCACTGCGAATGCTAAGTAGGATATTGGCAGATTAGCTAGAAAATCTCGTCGACGTAGGTAGACTTTTGAAAAGTACCTGGAAAGAGGCGTTAGTTAAAACGCATCTACGGAACTAAAATATCGCAAATTGCTATTGCGCTGGAACCATGTCTTATTAAAAGTAGCTTACACAAATCCTTATACGTTTACAATATTATTATTGTCACTAAATTAGTATTAATTTATTCTAAAAATATTTTCCCTCGCTAACTAAAATAACGATATAAGTAAAATCAAAACACTAAGCATATAGTATGTACTATGAGTTAAAATGTCCCTCACTAAAGATCATTTATTTCTTGGAAATAATAAAAATTTTGGTAATGCAAACCCACTGAGGATTTACGCCCGAATACTCCGAAGCTCCATGTGTAAAGCTTTCGCGGGATGTATGTGTTAAAATAAGTAACAAAACTCACGCCTAAACTTATAAATATTCAAGTTTATACAAATATTGATACGCATATTACAAAACTAGGAAATACTGAAATTAAGATAAATTTTGATTTTTATAGGAATTTGTAGAACGCATTCTTCGAACACAACTTTACTGATCCAGCATAAATAATTTCAATATTTAATATATTATTTTGCTGTGTTTTAAGCTAATAACTTAATATTTGATCGCATTGCCTTAACCTAATCTTAAGTGCCAGGGTCTAACTACGTATATATATGACATATCAAGCGTTTATCGCAATTATAATAGCAACGTATATAAAATTGGGGTAGCAATTATATAAATTGGCAACAACCATTTATGGTCTGCACCTCAGATTTCTGTATCCGTTTCGTGATTATTTGTTTGTTTTTTATAAGCAAATACGTGATCAGGCTTCTGTACCTGACACACGCTGTAGACTTTTTGTGTATGAGGTTCCTCACGATGTTTTCCTTCACCGTATGAGCGGGTGTTAAATGCGCACATAGACAGAAACTCCATTGGTTCACAGCCAAGTTCCAATCTACGACTTCAAAGAAAAGAGTCGCTGCCACAGACAACACTGCTCTTCCTAGTTAAATATCAATTGTAATACTCACATGTGACGGACCTTTCTATAATTCAAAATATATTCCCCATATCGATTCATATAACCACTGTGAATATCCAGAAAGGTTTTGTAGAAGAATATAACATCGGACACGACGCAGATGTTGAAAAAATACGTGTTCGATAGAAACGCCATTTGATATATCAATATCATGAAGTCTGCGTACGCGACTATTAATACGAGATAATCTAAAAGAAGAATTATTTTTATGCATTGTGAAATACACTTATTTTTAAAGTACACGAAAATGCATTAGTGAAACAATCTTGCTTAATGGTGGTCAACTGTCGTACGATGAGGGTAGTTTCAACTTACAAGGTAGTTTTTTACAAGTACCTCCATTTTCTCAATAAAACACATGTGTGAAATACGTATAGCTCTACAACTACAAAAAGTGTTACAGCAGCTAGTATAAATGCAGGAAGTTTTAAACAAAATTTGAGGAATGTCGATTACTGAGGGCTAGTATCCTAGCAGATTTTGTGGTTTATTTTATAGATATGAAAAAAATCATGTATCCGTGACTTTCAGATGTTATTTCATGAGAAAAAAGTTCTAAATTTATATGTACTGCCAGTTCTTATCAAAGGCGTAGTGGAGAAGAACTGGCAATAATCTCTCCGTCAATCCTTTAATCGCCAAGATTGTTTCTTTGCAAAATGTTTCTAAGGAACTGCAACCTACACCATTATAATATATTGAAGCAGGTTATAATAACAACTGTTAAGTATATAAATAATGTTATTAATAGAAAATACATACCAACAAAAGTAACCCATTTGCTGTCGGGAATTATACTGCTCCGGAACCATCTGTTGATATTTTTACGATTTCGCTTATAAAAATAGTTTAATTATGACGCTAAGGAATCTGTGTTAAAATTTTAATTACTAAAGCTTAGTTTGGCTGAAATGGCTTTATTTAAAATTCCATGTCCCATATACATGTCTGCTTTTCTATTATTCAAGATTTCGAGCGCTTTGAAGTTTAAAATGTCTTTACCTATGCGGCAGAAATATTAATGTAATCGCTGATGTATAATCCGCGCTATATCCTGAAGCAATAGAACGCGAACCGTGCGATTCTGCAATGCTTTTGTCTGGACTCTGAAATTAATTGTAATAAGTATTAAAACTAAAAATGGTTTCTTCGTAACGTAAACACAACTTCACAGAGAGACAGAGTACGTAGCTGTACCTAAGTAGTTAAGACTGATCTAGGCCCATATATTTTGAATATATGTATATATACTTATTATATGTTTGTTGTGGTTACTTATACAAATATTCTGAACTCTCTTGTATCTCAAGTTGCAATGTTGGCTTGACAGCTGGCAAATAGGTATGTCAAATATTATGTATAAAATGTTTTGTCAGCTCTAGAAATAAGATTTTTTATACTGGTGGTAAACAGTCAGGAGACTCATCTGAGAAGATACCTCCGCCCATGGACACTAACACTGCTGGAAACCTCGCACGTGCGTTAGTTTTAAGATATTTTTAGTCCTATTAACGTTCTAGAATAGTGTGTTCGACAAAACATGAAGCATCTGCATCATCATTTGGGACCTGGTGTGTAAGAACGGATTTTTCTTTCTACGCGTGCAAATGAGAATTAGTAGAGGTTATTTCGATGAAATCCAGCACATGCCGCATGGCTTCTGAATGCCCTTTATTACTACTGCGTAATCCTAAACACACCTGGTGTTAGAGGTTATTAGAAATCTTGATGTTATGAGGAAACTGTGTCAAGTCTTACTTCTAAAAACAAATTCGGCTCAATTCCATTTTCGTCCTCTTCTTCTTCAACTTCATATGAAAGTGGGTAAGTTTCAAGCTGAAAGAATACAAATAAGATGAAAAATGGATACGCAGGCCTAAACGCTCGACTGGGTGCGAAAGTTCGAATATATTAAAAGTTATTGTACATTTATCAAGTATTTCTCCACCAATTCAACTAAGATTACTTCAATAAACAGACTAATTCTATAAAGGCCGGCAACATAGTCGAGCTTCAGAGATCACTTAACATCAGATGAGCCAGACTCTTGTCCTCATTCACTCATTTAAAAACATTGTATGGCAGTGTCTTAACGAAAGTAAAATAATGCACTGATTAAAGTAATTCCTACTTAAAGCTGGTACTAGGGTATGTTAGCTTTCTATTCCTTGTATGATTTATTTCTACAACTCTATCAAAATAACTAAAATAGACACATGGTATCTAAATAAAAATTACCTCCCGGCTTGTCCTCGCCGATAAAATTGTTGGCAAAACATAATCTTTTCGTGCTGTGTCCACAGAATATTTGACCTTTCTTAAAACATTGGGATAACTCTGTGCAAACAAATGACGAGATTTTAATGTTTAAAGAACTTTATTTCTCATTACAAAAATTATTTTTTATTTACATGATATATTTAATATTATATACGAACGAGATACACGTCGCCATCAGCTAGCCCATAATGCATTGAAAATAATTGCCTCGTCTGTTATTGTACATTAATACCGTGATTGTGATTATTTGAGCGAGTTCTTACTTATCTGATTAATTTAGAATTAAAACATTTGTATTGCATGAATTTCTGATTTTAATAAATAAAATTTAACATGGATTTATAAATTAAATAAGTACCTTAAGTAGTGTAAAGAAATCGTGTCCTTCAATGTACAATAAGTCTAAATTTCTAGAGGCCGTTATATTAGACATTGTTAGGTACTTAGAAGCGCCTTTTATATTTCCAAATATACCTCCCGGACCCATGCACGCCTCCACTTCATTATCGTCGGTTATAATATCCACCTTAATTAATTAAAAAGGGTTTATATATAAAGAACATCAGGTCATTCACCTTTAAATACAGGGCTTTATCTTTGTAACTCAAGTTTTATTTCTTCAGCTTGTAATAGTATATAGTGGCGGCCGTATAACCTTATCTGTTTATTGCTTGCGATCGTAGCAAGTATACAAAAATCTAAGTCAAGACCAGCGCATAAGTCTTTATTTAGGTATGATTAATTCGTTAGTGCAATATGATTATACCCATTACACGCACTAATTTATGTTAAAACAACAAATATAGCGACGTAACTGTCAAAAGTGTGTCTTGCATTGTAATCTCCCAAATGGGTGTATAACGTTATCAAAGGCTTACCTTCCCGCGATAAATAATGTACATATTCTTGATGACCTCATTAGATCGCATGATCATGTAGCCTTTTTGAAAATACCGCTCCTTCAACTTCTTAGCGAAAGCTCTAAAGAATGAATACTCGACAGCTTCAAATAACGGTATCTCTCGCAGTGTCTTTTCGTACATGAACAAGACCGCGTCTTCATTTAAGTTGGCATGCAGTTTACCCAATATTTTCTGGTGCTTAATAAGGATAACGGGTTATGTTTTTGCCGTAATTGCTAAAGATACTGGTCGTTACCGTCACTAAAAATTAAGTTTTATTTCTTACCGACCAGCCGCCGGTTCTTTTCCATTGGTATTTCCAATAATCAATGATTGATTTCTTTAAAATGAATGGCACCTTTTCCCTGGCCATGAACAAGTCAATGTGTTTGAGATTCTCTTGAAACTTTGTTATGACCTGATCCGCCATGGCTTTGAGAGATGCAATTCGAGCATAAACGTATCTAAAAACATCCTATAGCTTAACCCACGCGTTCACATTAAAGTCGTGACTATAATGCTATGTAAAAGAGACCGGTGATTTGGCTATGGCCAATTAAGGAAGCAAGAAGTTAATAAAAACTGCCCACCCGAAGAACAAAACTCCATGTACGTTGATGCAAATCGAAAGGAGCATGTGGGCGGTATCTTGGGCAGTGATGTCACCGAAGCCGGCGCCGGTGAAACTCGCGGCTGACCAATAGTAGCTTAATAGGTATACTTTTTTAGGCGTTAGATATTTGGCTTTGAAAATCTTCGCACTGTCAATCCAAGAGCCTACAAACAACAATGTGAAAGTTAGAGCGTGTATATACACAAACATCATAAGTGCTTTCGAATGAGATGTTATTTCTTTATTTGTCGAATCCAATCCAAAAATGGGCCGGGCGTCATGTGAGGCGTAACACCTTTTATTTATATGTTTTTTAAGTAGTATCTTAGTGCTATGCAGTCAGAAAGCCGAACCTGGCGTTCCAGGTTCTATGCAATGTGCTTTGTCACCCAATGGATTCACAGGTCTCTTGATCTCAAATAATAAAATCAATTATTATTTTATTAAAATAATTTATTGTCTATAAAACTAACTAAAAACTAACTATTTTTTATTTCATTTAAACCTACACTCTTATAATAATTATTATTTCTTCACATATTCATTCCAATATTTCTTACCGAAATTACAAACCATATTCCCGCCAGGATTAAAAACCGTTTCCATAAAAGGTCCAGGTAGACTTTCTAGGCGTCTGATGAAGTCTTCCTGGTCGTATGCCACTATGAATCGGCAGGACATAGTTATAAGTATCGAAGCATATAGGTTTAAAAAGAACAATGTTAGGAGCAGAAATTGTACCACGCTCATTAAATATGCCTGAAATGAATAGAGAAACAATTTATGTCCTTTCAAAAACCGTAAGGTCCTTTAAAAAAATAGCTTGGGAAATAATAGACATAGAGATATAAACATGACATTTATTACTAACAAAAACACACAGACATAAACACACAAAATAACAATAATCAAAGAAAAAATAAAATGAGAGATATAAAAAAAAACCCTTTTCCTATTCGGTTCGTTTCAAGTGAGTAATGCGTGTCTGCTGTGGCTGTAATTGGCCCTGGTTCAGCATTATGCTGAGGAGCAGATTGTTCATCTGGCTGGTCATTGTGCCAGAGACCACAGCAGCTAGTTTGCGCCTCAGTCGCAAAAAATAAAGAAATAGTGAATAATAGTGATTTCACTAAATATAATATGAAAACTATACATGTAAGTATTGGTACGAGTACTGTTCTTTATTAAATAACCTATCGTCGTTACAAATATTACGTTAGAAGGAAGGACGTAGCCATAGTACAAGAGCAAAGTAGATTTATCTTTCTTAGGGTTATATTATCCTATATGTAATAGGGCCAGACTTGGGTATCTAAATTAGCCTCTATGTTTTGGATAAAGATTAGGACTCGCGGATTTTTGGTGCGGTGTTCCAGCAGATATTAAAAGACAAACGTGAAATCTGAATCTGAGTTTCTTTTTTTAAAGTATAGGGAAACAATCGAATCTACGGGACGCCCAAAAAGGGCGGTCATCGTAGCCCATGGGAACCCATTTTCGTAGGTTTTCGTAGGGCGTTACCGGCCTTTGGAGGCATTGAAATATGTATTTCGCAGCTAGATTATTTTCATTCATCACATCTACACTGAAATATTGATAGTATTAATCCTTTATTGAGAAACAAATTATTTGGTTCAGTCGAGTACATTTTAGTTCCCATTGGTTCCGAAAGTAGCCTGATAAGAGCCGGCTAGCAAACTAGGTAACCTTCTAGAAGTACAAATTTTAAATATCATTGTGACATCGGCTATAGAATGCCAACCGCGACTAATTTCGTTAATTAATCAAATTGATGTTAATTAAGGGGCAAATAATAGCTTTCACCAATCCAATACATCTTTAGTTCCATCATTATTTTGTGTTAATCAAATTATGCGACTCTTCATACAGCTCATGATTATTACCAGCGCTTAAGACCACCTAGTGATAACTGACAAGTCATAGATTGTGTTAATCAGGACCTATTTTCGCTTTAATGAATGAATTGAAGTATGGAATTCTAATTTCGGAACCTGTAGGAGTAATTTGTAACATTCATAACTTCGTAGTTTTCCAGTTAGCATGAAGGTTCTAGGTTTGTTTTCCGGTGAAACAATAATTGTTTCGAATCTTTAGATGCACAATGTTGGCACTGTTTTTCGTAGTTTTCCAGTTAGCATGAAGGTTCTAGGTTTGTTTTCCGGTGAAACAATAATTGTTTCGAATCTTTAGATGCACAATGTTGGCACTGTTTTCCGTAGTTTTCCAGTTAGCATGAAGGTCCTAGGTTTGTTTTCCGGTGAAACAATAATTTTTTCGAATCTTTAGATGCACAATGTTGGCACTGTTTATTGTGATACATAACGGTAAGTACGATTGTTGCAAGTTTAAATGACCAGTCAAGCCATAAACGCTTAGCAATCCGTATCCTGTCCCGGTCCTGGGGTGATTTTTTTTTAAAACAGTTTAGGGTTGGCACAGAAGGTTGATCCTGTTTGGGACTCGCCTATCCTAAAGTAGTCTACGCTCAAAAGTTGATCAAGTTTTTAAAAGACTGCCTATGCTAAGCTTTCTAATATTATAAGCTTCAGCGTGCGACTCTCATCCCTGAGGTCGTAGGTTCGATCCCCGGCTGTGCACCTATGGACTTTCTTTCTATGTTCGCATTTAACATTCGCTCGAACGTTGAAGGAAAACATCGTAAGGAAACCGGCTTGCCTTAGACCTAAAAAGTCGACGCCGAGTGTCAGGCACAGGAGGCTGATCACCTACTTGCCTATTAGATTGAAAAATAATCATGAAACAGGTTGTAGCGCCACTGATTTATTTTATGAGCATCAGAGCTTTACAGCCATTACGGTTTAAATAAAAAGTAGCAACTTTAAAAATACCCTTTTTAATGCGCCAATCGATTCAGCCCAAAAAACAGCATACAGCTTGTATATCTGAAGTATATTGACCATTCGGAAAATGCAATGGTAAAAGTGCGAATTTACGCCATGATCTTCATCGGTATGACTCTCGTTATGTTTAGGAACAAATAACTTCCAACACAGATACCAAGGAAAACATGTTAGGAAGTCTATTGCAAAGGATCTCTGGAAGAAAGCATAGGTTAGGTACATTCAATCAATCAAAATACGTTTATTCAGTTTAGATGCGTTATAGGGCATGCTTATGAATGTCAAAAACGTTTACAAAATTCGCGAAAGAGCAAGACTACGCCATCCGTTCGCAAAAGGACGCCTTAATCTGAGAAGAACGCGCAAGAAACTCAGCAAGTTTTACCCTCCCTCTAGATTACAATTATTCAAAGGAAAATGTCATTAAAGTTAAATAAGTAAAAACAAAATCTGTTCGGTGATTTACCACATTCACCATTACCCACATATTCACAACACTTCAAAGATAACAAAACAAATTATAACAATATAACTAGAACTATTGCCACGCGTTTTTGTCTTCCAGGCAATCATTAACTGTGTTGTAACCTTTACACATCAATGTTTTTTAATATGTGTTTTGAATCTATTTAAAGGCAGTTCTAAGTTCATTAGAGTAGAATTATGAATAGTGTAATAGACTAAAATAAAAAGAGGATTGTAATTGATGGTATATTATTTATTTCTTAAAAAACTATTTTATATTGAGGTCGAGGTAATATAGAAATCTGTTACAACATTGCAAATGCGTGCGTCGTTTAATTGCTTTTGTTTAAGATTTATTTTTATTTACGCAGGTGTTACAAAGCTATTGAAAATTTAGTATCATACCGTTAAGTAGTTCTTCGCAGTTAAGTATGGATGGTAAATAAGCTGATTCTTTGAGCCGTAATAAGCTACATGCAGCATTATATATAAGTCTACATAGCATATAGCTTCCAGTGTTATCATAATTATATTAAAACTTCCACACATCGGAGCCATACATACTACAATCTAAAATATGAGAAAAATAATATTACGAAAATGTCTTATCGGGTTACGTCCTTATTAATTCTTAAGTGGTGTTTTAAAAAAAAACATTAAAAAGTAACATGAAGTGGAACAAAAGAAGATACTGTTTAGAATAAATAATATATTTATTCAAAAACATTTTTTCAAATCTTCCATTATCTCAGGTTTTTTCAAAGCTCAGCTAAAATACCTAATAACAATCTGTAGTATCATATACTATAAAATGTATATCTGTTTCTTCAAATAATCTTAAAAAAGTCGAGAACTGATGGACCGATTTTAAAACATTAGAAAATTTATGAAAACAAAAGAAAAAGAACTCATGGGTTTTGTAACTGTCCCGACATGTTCGTCCCGTTAATAAGGTTAACTCTCCCCTCAAATTAAAGAACATTTAAAGGATTCGATAAGATATATATCCACAATATTCTGTTAATAGCGTATTTTAGATTCAATAAATGTAGAAAAATGTCATTAATGAAAAAGGATTAGCATTTATCTTGCTTGTCTTATGTTTTATTGTGTTAATTTCTTAAAGTAATTAATGTATATATGTTGTGTATTCATTGAATTACATTCATTAAATCGATTAAAGTTACGCAAATCTGTAACACTACATTTATTGACTGTTAGGCGGTACGAAGTTCGCCGGGTTAGCTAGTACAATGGACACTGATAGTTTATGGTGCACCGTAGTCCAACGGCAACTAATATCAAGCTTTGTAGCACATAATATATTGGAAAGTTCTAGATCTTACCGGAATTAGCAAACTAAGAAGATATGCCGTTATAACTCGTATAAATGCCCAGGTTTTTAAGAAAGTGCCATCAGGTTTGATAGCGATCGGGAGCAACAGGTATGGGGAGATGGTGTTCAGGATGTGAAATTCTTGAAAAGATTTAAGATAACTTTCGTTTTTGCGTTGGTAGTATTTTTTCACATTTATAAATGAATCTGAAAAGAGAATTAGATACATCAACGGCCTTTTATTAATTTTCTTTCTAAACCGGTAGGAAGTTGGACACCCACCATTTTATTTCACAAAAATAAAATATATAATATTCGCTTGTAGTCCAACTAAATTCCTATATCTGAACCATTTTTAAGTCAAATAAGTTCAAAATGGCGGTTTTAACCAATAGTTCAGGCTGTTTATTTCTTGGTATCTTTTCATTATAAACAAGAAAGTAGATATAATATACAACTATTAATCGGTCATCAAAGCAAAGATTATAAACTTAGTTATTAGCTTATTCATAAATCTAAAACAGTCTTAATGCTCTTAACTAAAGTACTTTCGTCTCTTTAGAATTGTGTTAACGCTATTATGTCAAAAGACATGAATAGATTATTTAAAAGGGCGATTGAATTGTTTTTTTTATTAATAAGGTTATAATGAGATTAAAATTTCCGAAATAACCGCGGCTTATGCTTTATCTTAATTGTCTTAGCAACAGATACGACGCAGCCATGATTATAAAAGAAAGCCTATATAATGTCAATGCCACAAATAACAATTTACATTTCTAACCATTAAAAAAATCTTGCAATGCATTCGTTAGTAAACTCGACAAACGCTTTCCCACCAGCACATTGTAGTGTTTTAAATATGCGTCTGTATTCTGTGATTTCGCTTGTTGTTCTATGCTATGCAACTCGTCTGATGTCAGTAAACCCTCATGCTCCTTCATGTCAGGAAACAAATTCAGTGCTGAAGTATACGCGAAGTGGCCGATGCTAATTAACTGAAAATGTTCAATATAATCTTTAATTTATGGTAGTAGCATGTAGTTATGTACTGTAGTAAATGAAGGTAAATATAGGCTTTTTACAAGGTACTTCGTGGGTATTTAAAGCCCCTTAACCTCTCAATCCGAATTTACACACATTTTTTGTGTCTCTTTGCCACACTGATCTCGGGATTAACCATAAATTAAAAAAAAAACCTTCGACGGCGAACGAGTACCTACGAAATTTTTAAATTTCAATGATGCATATTTATTACATTATTTATAGAGAGAGTAAGTGAAACATAACGTAACAATAATCACGTATCTGTACCGACGTTTAATTGTGAAAGACAATCAAAAATTTAACAACATTTTTTCGTAAATTATAAAAAATTAAATTCATAGATAATAACGTTTCCTTACTTTGCAATGTGTTAAAGTAATTATAGTGCTAACAGCAGGCACTCCATACAAAAGCACAAGCAATCCCAAATGATTCCCGGGGCCGATGACACGTTCCCTTCGCGTTTCCCTCAGTTCTTTGGACGTGACGATACAGTAGCCGCTCTCAATTATATACAGCTCCCTTGTAACGGTCCCACCGTAGTACACTATCTCCCCGGGAGGTAGGATTATGTCCCTTGCGGCTGTGGGTAAAAGAGTTAATATCTTATGAGTTCCGCGACTAATTATAAGAATGGAGTCAAAAAGGAATGTATATGTTTCTAAAATATAAAGTACATTAAAAGGCTTAATATTAATTTAAAAACTTAATACTACAAAAATATTAATTGCAAAAAATATCTTTTTATCCCCTCCCTAATGACGGCATTAATGTTGATGTTGTTCTGTGCCGCTGTTTTCTGACATTTGTGTTGACTTTATTTACACTAGGTACTTCAAATAAGTGTTTACTAACTTGGTGTAATGACATCATCGACATGCGTAAAAAAAATAACTTAGATTTTTTTATTACAAAACGAACAGCGCCCGCGCCGGTAGTCTGCGTCGTCTAGTCGCGATAACGACATCGATTTTGACGTTTTTGTTTGCAATTTCGATATTATTCAATATCCGTAGCGCTGATTGCCTTGGAATCTGGCGGTACTTTAACTCATATTGACATCGTAATCGCAATTGTTATTGGAATTTACAATATACCAGAGCTGGTGTACAAATTTTATCTGAGATATTTCGCCAATCACTATTTTTTAATGAATTACCACCACCTCCATCAATTAATATCGTTATAACGATAGTCACGTAAATCATATTCGAAACTTCGTTAACTAATATTCGGAACAGCTTACATCTTTCTTTCAACATTCGATTTTGATTCATACTGCAGCTGGTAATTAGCTTTATAATTGACATAAGTAGGTCGAGCGTGTAAACCGTGTTACACCCAGGCTATTAAGGGTTAATATAAATGGAGCGATTACATTTTAAATTTAATTAATAATGCGCCAAATTAAACTATTTACTTTTTGAAATAGTTGATTTTTGAAGTGAAACTTCTTTATCGAGGTTGGAAAAAAATTTAGTGTAACATTTTTTCGTTACGCGTCACATTTTTCGGATACGCGCCATGTCGCTTTTTGAAGTCAAACTTCTTTATCGGTGTTGGAATGAAACTTCTTTATCGACGTATGGGAGAAATTTTGTAGCAAATCGTCACGTTTTTCAATGATAGTAATAATTCTATTACAATTAATGAAATTCTATAATAATCTTCGTAGTAATAAGGTAAAATGAAATATTTGTATTCATGTCTATGATAGAGGAAAGTGACCAAATATGGAATACCATTTTGATTTTTAGGCATAATTTCAATGTATTATAAATAAAAACTGTTTGTGGTAATTATTAACAACAATATATTTGCATTGTAATAAGTTTAGGTTTTATTGATTAGTTTAAAGTAAGAAAAATTTAAGAAACTAAATAACGATTTAGGTACCTATATATGGAATAGGTACCCCAAATATGGAATACTATAAACACTATCAAAAATTAACCTTAACTTACAAGAGACTCTTGGGAAACTTGGTATAATATAGAAATGTACACAAATTATTTACAAAAATCACAAATCCAGGTATCAAACTTGGCCCAGGCAATCATTACATGAATCCAACATAAGATTGATCCATTTCACCATGAGTATATTGAAAACAGCCCACCAAGAATATACACTCCGAATCTTCAGAGTCTGAGCTGTATATATAAGCATCGGGTTAGTTGTATCAAATATCATTACCTCCTATATTGAATAGCCTAGTCTTGGTTTTAGATATTATAGAATTTTTGCAAAGACAGTTTTCTTTGAGTGAGTAGTGGGGCTTTTCTGGAGAAAATTGTTTTTTGACATAATCGAAAAAAGTATTTTCAGCTTTAAATAACCAATTTTTTTCTCTTACTAATTTTATTGTTTGATATGTTGAATCCATTATTTTCGTTTTGTTTTGAGTTGACGCACGCCATTTGGTAAAACATGAAAAAATATAGAATTAACAAAATCATCATGTAGCTGATACTAGAGAACCAATTATGGAATATCCATAATGGGTAGGATTGTCATATTTGATTTTTCAACGATTTAACTACATTCAATTTTTATATTTAAGAAAGCAATATCATCTAATACTCTAAAACATACTAAAGAACGTCTAAACGTCTCTAAAAGCTAAAAATAATACTTTGACTTTCTTTAGAAAAATACGTATTTTACATACCTTAGAAAGTTATTAGGACAAAACAAAAAACTGTCAAAGAAATGACTTGTGACTGAATGCTACAACTTGTATGAAACGGGAGTAGAACAACAAAAAATAATTTTTATTGGTATGTGATTGATGAGAGAAATAGGGGGTATTCCATATTAGGATACTATCCCATATTTGGTATCTCAATAAAAGCCTTTTGTTAAACTTTATCTAATTTAACGAATTTCTGTAAAGTTGCATACGAAAAATAAGATCATAAAGAAGTTTCACTACTTACGTGTGTACACCTAGTACACGCACAATTTTTATTTATTTTAATATTACGAGTACCATTAATAAATACAGACTAAACATACAGGTTTTAGAGTATAGCTTAAATTATATAAGAAGATAATAGAGTATAGATTCGAACCTAACGTAAAGTTACTCCAAATTTCTAAGTTAAAGAACTATAGTGTGAAATTAAAACTGAAACTTGAAAATTGACACTGTGCTAAAAATCGACGACATGACCTACTTGCCTATTAAAAAAATATCACAAGACAGATTCAGTAATCTGAGGCCTAGAGGTGGTAGCAGAACTGATTAATATAATTTATTACTAGCTGACCGGGCAAACGTCGTTTTGTCATGTATATTATTTCTAGGAAACTTTTTTTAGTTTAATAAATACAACTATCCACTATAATAAAAATAAGGGTTAATCGTAGAGGGGTAAAAATTAGGGATATTTGTATTTTTGTATCATAAAAATTCAAAATTATAATTTTTATTTTGGGGTGGACACCCCTTATCACTAAGGGGGTTGAAAGATAGATAGTAGCCAATTCTCAGACCAACTGAATAGGCATATAAAATTTGATAAAAATCGGTCAAGCCGTTTCGGAGGAGTATGGGAACGAACATTGTGACACGAGAATTTTCTATATTTATTATTAAGCTCAATAATTTTCTTATTTGGCATCACAACTAAAAAAGAGTTTAGTTTTTCTAAATTACTACGTACTATGATTACAGTCACTTTATTTCACGTGCTTAGCAGCCTAAGGACGGATTGAGTTCTTTTTAGTAAGCGTATTGAATACAGTTTATTGCGAATATTATTTTAAGTGTGAAAATAAGTTAGTTCCATATAGGTACGGTTCATACCCTAGTCTTTTCTATATGTACCTACAACTTTTGTTTTAACATCTGTCTGAACAAAAATACGTTTGAAAATCCAAAAACTTTAACGTTAAATCTAAAAATTAATGGACCCGTATTGTTTTCATTTCATGCCCGTTTCTGCTGAACTAAAATTTATAAAATGTCAAATAGTTCAGGGTGCCGTGGCATAGGCCACCTCTAAAAATATCCAGTAACTTCTGACATCCAGTCTGCTATCATTTTCTCATCTCGTGGGTTGATGATATTATTGTTAAAATAGTAGTTTGTAATCTATTTAAACCTTAGCAACTGTTGTTATTTTTTTTAAATTGTTATTCTTGAGAAAACTCTTGTTGTTTGTGTTGTTATAAACTATTTATCTATTGTTTATGAATTTATTTTTCTTCATTCCTTCAATCTACAACTCTCCTACTTCACAGTTACAACATCCCACTTCAAGTATTATAATATATGACATTAAATACATAATGTTATTTTAAAGCATGTCAAATAACCGCGCGTTTATCGCCCGATGTAAGGCGTACTTACTCTCAGTCAACGTGTGTATGTAAGCTTTATTTTTCACTTGAAAGAACTGTATTGACGTAAGCGTCTTGAACCTAGCTTGATGAAGCACTTTCTTTCGTAACTCAGTTGGTACAACGGTTTTCTTGAGCCAACTTTCATCAGTTAATTCGACACCCTGAAAAATTTTAATATAATTAATAAAACAAACTCAATTTCATTTGGGGGCCTCATAGCCTAGCGGTCTTATTAAGTGGCAGCTAGATGAGGGGTACCGGGTTCAATTCCCGGTTCGAGGGCAAGTTATAATTTAATTAAAATTTGTTCTCAACCTTTGGGAGGGTTGTGCGGTACCGGGCGAGTGCTTAAACCGTACATGGAGGACACGGTCGAATTTCTAAAGACAAGCACGAATTATTAAAAATCCTATTCTTGACGCTGGCTGCACAAATCGTGCTAGAGCCATTTAAAAAAAATTATTTGAGTGATACTTGTGGGTTTTCCCTCAATTCAATGCCATAATTAATAAAATTCTCTTATTTTATGGTAGGCAATTTGAATAAAGTGCTAACCACCTCCCATTGACACCTGCAACGCCGGAGGTCTAGCGGGTGAGTTGCCGAAAAAAAATATTTCTGGGTTACAACTCCTCAATAAAGCTACGCACATTGTCGTCGAATGATGGTAACACAAGTCCCGTCCTCGAGTACAATTTTATAGGAATTTTTATTTGAGCGAGTTTGTTTTTATTATGAGTAAAAAAAAAGCTATCGGCGCGGCATTGTCTGTGGTTGTATAAAAATGGATAAACGTCTCTGTGGCAACTTTTATCTTAATTAATCCTGTTAATTAATTTAGTACAGTTACACTTACTGAATTATATTGCCATTGTAGTTCATAGAACGACATTATTCTTGATTTTATTGCTGAATGCATATTATTTTCTTTCATAAATCTATCTATTGTTAGGATCACTTCTAGAAATGCAGTTTTTGTTCTGGAATAAAATATTAACTTAATAAATAGTATTCATAATTCTTTTAGTTCTTTACAGTTGTTTTTAATTAGGGAAGAGATCGCTGAGTAACAACAAGACCGCCCGTTGCACCATGTTTTTAAGTTTATTGTTAAAATAATTATTTGTTGTGTGAATAAATAACAAGTAATATCTGTATATGCTATATCTTTGATTCCTAGGTTAAAACACCATTGATAATAATGTATGACAGTCTAAACATTGTGTGAACCATCCGCCTTCTTGCTCCATGTTCCATTAAAAGAAGGCCTAAGCCCCAAAATAGTGTTTGAGTAAACCTACCTCGCCCAATGTGTAACAACAGCTGAAAATTCGGAAACGCAATATCCTGTCAATAGGACTCCGTATAAACTTAGAAACGCAATAAATCCCATGTCCTGCTTATCGCCAGGATTAAAATCACCATAACCCACCGAAAGGAGTATTGTTGTTGCGAAATATATCGAAGTCAAGACGTGGTACTTGGTTCTGGAAAAATTACTATATTTATTATTGCTACGCATGTCCTGTATTGTAAAAAAAAATCATTGGCGCTTCAACCTCTTTAGGTCTTGGCCTCAGATTTCTGAATCTATTTCATGATCATTTTTAAATCTAATAGGCAAGTAGGTGATCAGCCTCCTGTGCCTGACACACGCCGTCGACTTTTTGGGTCTAAGACATGTCGGTTTCCTCACGATGTTTTCCTTCACCGTTCGAGCAAATGTTAAATGCGCACATAGAAAGAAGTTTCATTGATGCACAGCCGGGGATCGAACCTACGACCTCAGGTGAGAGTCGCACCTAGACCAACACTGCTCATTCATGGTCCCTGTGAATTAATCTTAAATCTAGTTTCAAGAGCAGTCAAAACATTATTCTGTATATAGTTTGACATATTTGACCACGCTCAAGACGCGATAGTGTCTTGGGATATGAATTAGAATATGGACTTTTGACTCGTAGTAATAACTAGGCACGTTTTAGAAACGGCAATTGATAAATGTATCAAAGTTTCCGCGCGACATGGTAATGCGTAGAAAGTGGATATATTACGCATATTTAAAATATATTATTACCGTAATTATTAGTTCGGTTTGACACGCTGATAAGACCCTAGAGGGTTGAGCCTGACGTAATATGGAAGTAATGTCTTAATTTTTAAATTCAAATGAAAATTTCAGGGTTTGAAGTTTGTAACAGACGACGTCTAGGCTACACTTGACTCTTACATTTAGACTAGTTTAATGATGAATCCAAAATATGTCGATAATGTATCCAAATATACCCACAAAATCAATAAATTTGAACCAAAGTCATTCCATAATGCCAGTTAGTTGTATTTCAGTATTTGTAAGCTATAATTTAAAAAAAATTGTCCCCGTATCTGCATATCATATCCGTTTGTCATCTTTATTACATAGAAGTGTAAAGCAAAATACTAGGCGATTAAAAAGAGTGGCGGAGAGTTTATTGCCTGTTCTTCTTTTTCATTCTACGCCTTTGATTTATGAACTGGCAGTAAATGTAAAATTCATAAGTGTACATTGTGTTACCTATATGAATAAATGATTTTGATTTTCAGTAACAATATGTAAAATTTCTAACTTTGTAGACATCACACCATGCCTTTGATCTTCACGAATCAAAGCTCTCGCAAACCACGAATGTTGCGAACATCTATTCACGAAGCAAGATTCCATATACAATATGACTCCTGACCAATAGCATAGCAATCCGATGTATACACAATATTTTGCAATCTGAAATCAAACAATAATATTTACAATTCGTGTTTATTTTTAAACATCTTAGATATTATAACTATTTGCTTTCAATATTTAATGATAGTGTTCAGGTGAACTATAAATATAAAGAATTAAGACACATACAAACTTTATCTACTTTTTTCAGTCTCTTTAATGAAACATTCATGAATATAAAAGGTGATTTTCGTATCTATAATATACGTAGGTAATCAAGCGGTCATGCGTTCGAATCCTGGCTTAGCACTTATTAATGTATTGTGTGTGTATTTCAGGCACAAAAGGCTAATCACAATCTTATGTGCCTGAAACTCCGTCGAATTTTAGGTCTTAGACGTGGTGATATATTCACGATATTTTCCTTGATCGGATGAATAAGAAATATTTTAAAATAAAAAATAAAATAAAATATGTTTATTATGGAACATAAGATACATGTGTCACTTATTCCACGTCATTAAATTTGAAGGCATCCCTACTCATCGGCAAAGAAGACAGAGGGTGTAGGCCGAGAGAAAAAGCCGGCGTAAAAAACTCTCGGTACTCTTTTAAAACAGCAAATCATCAAACAACACTTATTTAAAACAAATATCGCAAATTAATTAGAAGTAGCCTGTCTAGCACTAGTCCCAGGCCCTTTTATCAACTAGATAATCGTTGACTTTATAGTAAGCCTTTTTACACAGCTTTTCTTTAATACATTTCTTAAATTTATTGAAAGGCAGTGATAAAAGGGCCTCTGGGATTTTATTAAAGAAGAGTATCCCTTTCCCCAAAAAAGAATTACTAACTTTAGATAGTCTAGTACGGGGAAATTGCAGTCTGCGTTTGTTCCGTGTATTAACATTGTGCGTATGTTCTATTCTAGTAAACTTATCACTATTTTTGTATACATACATAATATTTTCATAAATATATTGCGAGGGAAAGGTAAGTATATTAATTTCCTTGAATTTATCTCTAAGAGATTCCCTACATTTTAAATTATAGATTGCACGAATAGCCCTCTTCTGCAGGATGAAAATAGTTTCGACATCAGCAGCATGACCCCATAATAATAAGCCATAAGTCATTAAGCTATGAAAGTAACTAAAATAAACAAGTCTAGCTGTATCGACATCAGTTAGTGAGCGAATTTTTTTAACCGCGTAGGCTGCAGAACTAAGTCTCTTCGCCAATCCGTTAATATGAGGGGACCACTGAAGTTTTGAATCCATGATGATTCCGAGAAATACAGTTGTATCATCCAGATTCAATTCCTCACCGTTTATAATTGGTCTAGTATCCATAACCCTTTGCGTTCGTAGATATAAATACTTGTCTATAGAGAGAAAATGCCAAGAAAAAAGAAATTCATAGGAGAAAGCTATGATAATAAATTGTATTCAACGAAATTGTATAAAGTTATAAACCATTTATCATGACAGTGTAAGGTTCAAAATTCAAAGTTCAAATAATACGTTGTTATAACCTTACCTTAACAATGATTGTATTCGACATAACTTTCTTCTCCAACTCTTCAAAGAAACTAGATATTCTCCAGACCAGACAAAGCTTCACACCCTTACACATATAAAATAGATGGTTTCTATGCGTATCCAAATACCCCACATTCGTATGAATTGTCACAATATACTCAAAAGGTATCAGCGACACTAAATCCATATAAAATCCAAGTGTATTCATACGGTAATTTAATATGCCGGTAAAGTTTTTGATATATTTTTTCTTAGTCTTCACGGCGGTCACGATTGACATGATTACATTTAACATCAACGATATCGTAATACATATTTCGGTATAAAAAAACATGCCGCCAGGAAATTCCCTTTCAAATCCGATAAAATACGGATAGACTATGCATATATAGAATACTATAAAGAGCATAAATAACTGCCAGTATTTCACCAAATGGCAGTTGGCTTCTAGAATCCAAGGAAAGTTTCCGCTAACGCAAGTGAATACAGTGGATCGCTTCTTGATATGTTCGGATAGGATGTAGAGATCTAAACAGCTCTCGTCCAGGTCAGTATCAATACCGTTATCTTCTGTAAAACCTGTAATACAATGCCTTTAACATATTTTTTATAATCCAGGGTGCAAATCCAGGAGGCTCATCTGATATTAAGTGACAACTTCCTTGGACCCAATGTATTGCAGGACTAAGAATTAGTACCCTCTTTTCTTTAATGACATTTTAATGAAGGAAGGTGCTGCTCTTCGCCCAACCTAAAGAGAATCCTCTTGACCAATCTAAGCTGTGACTGGCCAGAAAGCCACAGTAGCTAAGGTCAAGAAATGTGTATATTCTTAGCGGTCGGAATAACTTTGTTAGCGCGTTACAAGGGTATGAGGTCATCGCAGTGAGTAGCCGAAGATTATAGGTCGCTACAATACTTTACCGACGTAAAATCTACTCAGTTTTAGTAGGCGATGTTTTCAAGTCAAAATAACTTTATTCATATAGGTAAACAAGTACACTTATGAACGTCAGAAAAGAAGTTAAATTAATTCTAAATTTACATTTACTACCAGTTCTCAAGTCAAGGGCGTAGAGCGGGCAAAAAAGAACTGGCAAGAAATTTTCCGCCACTCTTTTTAATCGCTAGGTTTTGAGTCATACAAATCGTTTGATCTGGAGCAAATCAATCCCAAGGATTAGGATCATTTATATATTCGTCAAATTTATAAAAAGCTTTATTGATTAATTTTCGTTTTATACGGAGTTGCGCTTATAAATAATATCTAAAGGCTTCATAAGTATTAGTGTATATTTGACGACTCATTGGTCTAGTGGTTAGTACCCCTGACTGCGAATCCATGGGTCCCGGGTTCGATCCCCGGCTGAGACTAACATCGATGTGATGAGCATTTGGTGTTGTGCTTAGGTCTTGGGTGTTTAAATATGTATTTATATGTCTATCTATCTATAATATGTATCCGTTGCCTAGTACCCATAACACAAGCTTCACCAGCTTAGCATGGGACTAGGTCATTTGGTGTGAATTGTCTTTAAAAAAAAAAATATATATATATATAATTAGTATTACCTTGCAGAAACCTTAGTTTATCTTTCAAGCGTTTTATGCTACTTTTCTTTTGATCTTTCGAAGCGTATATATTTAATGTCAGAGGTGGTTTCGAATGCTGTTTCATTTTCCTTGTGTGGCTTCTTCCAATTCTTTCCAACATTTCACTCCTTATTTGTACGCTTATATCGGGGTAGGTGATCATTAGTTTGATGAAATCGGTGTGATTGAGGATCTGACATTCAACATAGGTCGCCGCTTTAACGGTACATCTCGCTAAAATATAGTCACGATATTGGTAAGACTGATGACCTATATATGTCAAATCCAATACGTTTTTGCTATACGGCAGAGTTTGACATACTTAGCACAAAGTCTCGACTGTGGGTTAGAGTCTTAATAGCTAAAATAAGTATTTAGATGTATGTGAGAGGAATTGTGGCTGATTTAAGGCTTAAGAACCAGAAAACTCACTTAACGATTAATTCTTCAAGAAGCGTATAACAAATATATATCCATATAAAATTAAAAATTAAAAAATCCCTTACAAAAGTTTTTTACATATACATAAAGCATTCAAATATACATAATAACGAAACATAAGTCACAAATAAGTAATTTACTTTTGAAAACCTTTATCTTTTTTGTTTCGTATGATATCCATTTTTTAATAAAAAAAGACACAACTTATAGTTATTCAATGTAATTGATAGGTGTTTGCTTTGCAGCCTATTATTAAAGGTATGATTAGATGTACCTGGTACATTAAACGCCAAAGATATTTCTCCAATGCACGTGCCTTTACCAAACGATATCATAGGACTTTCATCATCCTCATCTGACAGTAGTTCGATTACCCCATTTGTGATACAAATCTGAAAGAAAAATGGTCCGTAAATACAAAGCATACGCATATATAACTTCATTGAAACTGAAAAAAGACCCTTAGACACCCCTAAATTGTACCCCAGTATTTTATAAACTAGACTTTTTAAGTATACTTTATCCTTCCATCGCTATTTCAAAGTATATATTTATAGTATATTTTTGTTACATTTATTAGCAATGAGAGTGATAGGGACAAATTCGACAGCAGATTGCAAATATATATTTATAAATTACAAGATTATAATCTTACATGTGCAAACAATTCTATAAAACTTTCTATAATGACGAGAGTGTTGGCCTAGTGGCTTCAGCGTGCGACTCTCATCCCTGAGGTCGTAGGTTCGATCCCCGGTTGTGCACCAATGGACTTTAATTCTATGTGCACATTTAACATTCGCCCATTCAACATCGTGAGGAAACCAGCTTGCCTTAGACCCAAAAAGTCGACGTGGGTACAGGAGGCTGATCACCTAGTTGCCTATTAGATTGACAAATGATCATGAAACAGATACAGAAATCTAAGGCCCAGACCTAAAAAAGTTGTAGCTCCACTGATTATTTTTTTATTATTTTTCGCATAATTACGCCTAAGCAACATTAGAACTAGAAGCAGTATAGTCTAGAACTAAAGTATGCTAATTTCAATGTCCGCGATCGTGGGATCGAAACCCGGCACTAAATATTTTTTTGTGCTTAGGATTGCGCGATGCCCTATGGGAAAGTTATGGGACTTTACAGAAAATTCTTTTGAAATCATATTTACCATGAAACTTTTGTTTTGGTTGTGATTGTAAACAATATCGCCAGGCAGATAGAATTGATGACACATCGCTAATGAAAGCCTTCTTAGGAAAGGCTCTGGCAATTGCCTGAATACTAGAGAGCTATACAAAGGTACTGCATTCAGGTCGTAACATATTTCCATCAACAAAGGCGCTGGCAGTAGCTTTATAAGCTTTGGCTTAAACACGCCAGACTTTTGGTACCAAAGATCCTCGTAGTATCTGTGAAGGGAATATTAGATTTAACCATTCGATTTTTTGTATTAATACAGTTATAATTGTGTTAATTTTGTCTGACGCCCTTCAAATATATAATTTCAGCTATTTCCGTTCGTTTTCATAAATACAAGCAACAAGCTTGTCACGGAATTGGAAATTGGAAATTTTCGAACCTTATAAAGACATCAATATAATTAATCTATCCCTGATGCCTATTTGCCTTATGTTCTTATGTGTTATAATACCTGAGAACACGTTTTGTTGTATCTTCGTCCATATGTATCAACGCCAGATGGTTCTGAATTCTCTTCAATTTGCGTACATATTTGGATCGTCTCGTTGTGATAGTAATAAATTGTGAAGTTAATGAACCGACAAAGACTATTGTTGTAATGAAGAAGCCTAATAAAATTGCGAGCGTTGCTATTATTCTTTCTAATGTTGATACCGGATACAGATCTCCCAAAGAATTGGTTGTTAAGATCATCACAGACCAGTAGGCACATACAAAATGCCAATCTAGGACAGTTTCAGTCGGTAAGTAAATTGCCCCAATTGACCAGGAGGTGCGAATTTTATGAACGTCAAATGATCTATATGAAAACAGATACCACACACACGTATACGAATGTACGGAGAGCAGAAATAGAACTAAATATTGGGCCAAAAATGTGGTCCATTGATTAGTTCCTGCTTGGGAAGATTTGTTATAGGAAAACTCTATTATTCTGTAAGCCCTAACGGTCGCAATGATTGGAGAAATAGCATGAATATCCATAAATACTTCTTTTCTGAGAAAATACAGAAACGGATATGGCATTGCCAAAATGATATCAAAGATGACTCTCTCAGTACAAGGCTCGACAATGTTCAATGTCTTACGCCACTGCCGGAAGAATTTCAAGCCAAACAGAACACTGACATCGATCATAAAAATGAAGCTAAAGCAAATAAGCATAATAACAACCCACAAAGGTCTTTGTTCCACACGAAAAAAGGTGTAAAGACATGTATCAAACATGTAGGATGCGAATATTACGGACAAAATAAAAACATTCCATATTGGATTAGAATAAATAAGTAAGAAATAACGCAATCGGTTTGTGGTGATGTCAGATTTGGGCTCTTGTAGTATCGCGTATCTTTTTTGTCGTTTCTGTTCGTCCACTTCTATTACAATATTTTGTGAGACGTCTTCCGAGTAACGTCCGCTGGCGAGCGGGTTTATTAAGATGCATTGCTTGTCTTTACCGCGTCTGTATTTATAAATGTCCAGGCTTGATCCATCCATATTCGAATTATCTATCGAGAAAGGTATATGTTATATCGTCTACATACTTACATACGTTCTACAATGGGATACACTTACGGGATTGTCATGAATTATTTTATCAATTTAACTTACATATTACATCTTTGTGAAAAAATTAACATTGTCTAATGTAAGTTACACATTGTAAAGTTTTTTTTTAAATTTCTTTATTTTACAAAATAATATATTATAATCACAATATGTTACATTACAAAACCGCTGTGGTTTGTATTAATGTAACCATAGCAGTCTTGTTTAGGAGCGCGTTTTTTAATATACTGTTTATGTTAGTTGGCGTTAGGCAATCTAATATCTGATTGCGTAGACCATTTATTAGTTAAAAATACTGCCGTACCCAAAGCCTTCCATTAAATATGAAATGAATAATTATTCATCTAAATATCTGCAACGATTATTTTTTGGGTGGCCCAAGCGAACTTATTTAAATTTCCAACTGAATAAAAACTCTATATTAAAGGAAAGCAAAGGAAATAACACCTTTAAAAATAATGTGCGTTAATAGCTCGTGTCAGTTTAAACTATTTTTATTTAAAAGATAAACTTACGCATTTTTACTGGATGTTTTCATTTAAGCCTATGTAAATCTTGTTGCGTAAGAATCACCATCTTTGACGCTTGCGGTGGGTTTAATGAAGGGCTATAAATCAAGGTGGTTACGACACCCTAGAATTTAAGTAATACTAGTAGGCACACTATTCAATTAACATTAGCTTTTATGCATTTTACTCACAACGGTAAAAACACATTACTGTATCTGTTGTAGAAGAAATAAGTGATTACCGATAAGGGTCCTTTAATATTTTTAATGGGTTACAGAATTTTTTTTAATCTCTTTGAAAAAACTTTTATGTACTTTTTAAGTTAAAATATATGGTATGACGTCATGTATATCTTTAGTTCTATACTTAGCGAGTACCGGACATAGAAGTAGGCAAAATGCACACGACACTTAAACCCACATAAGAATAAATTAAATATCGCAAAATGGAACAATCCATATTGGACTTGCATCTCACATCATACAATCTGTTCTATAATATGGTGTAGGTACTTACGTTAGGTTACGTGAAAAGGTAACAAACATCCATCGTAATATTAGTAGGATATTCAAGTAGAGATTAATTTAATAAAGTCAGGCTAAATTGGGTATGATTTCGGGGGAAGAAATTAGAAGCAATTATATCCGATTAGAAGCACAATTACTTGGCCGCTTTAATCCGCATTGTTACGCAAAATAACTCGAAAAATCTAAAATGGCAAATGTAATATTGTGATTATTTATATTTTTAATTTTTTTGTAACATTTATGTTTACCATAATTGTCTAGTATTTTAGAATAGATAGCTTGTAACATATACTGAACATAAAGCATTATGTTATAATGTGGTGATTTTTAACAATTCACCACATTATAATAAATAACAAAACTTGTCTATAAATCTGTCCATCGGCATGTTTACTTATAGAAAATTAGATAAATTGTCAAATTTTCTAAGGAACAGATTTCCTTGAATATTATCATTTTCCGTGAAAGTGACGCATCATTGAATATGTCCATGTATTACGGACACATGTAGCAAGGTAACGGGATTTCACTCACTTTTATAAGTTAAACTAGGCATTTTTCAATGAATGAGAGTTTTGATATCTCAATTAGGTCTAAGTACGTTTGCGGAGCAATAAGCATGTCCGATACTAATGAAATGATTTTATGACAACATTTTTCACTCCTAAACTCTGCATTTCCATAAACAGACGATCATTATGCGACCTCGCACCACCTACGGCAACCCGCTCTTAACTAATTATAGGTAGCATTTGAAAACTTGATTCGACGAAGATGGCAATACCGTATTGCCATCATTAAAAAAGTTTTACTAAGAAATAAACTTTCACTAAAGTAAAACCTTTAATTAGTAGCCTTCGCTTCAATATGTCTAGATTTTTCTCAATGTAGGCATTAGTTGCTTGATCCTTTAGTTTTTCTGAACGGAAATATCATTTAAAATTATTTTGTGTACATTGTTCATCACAATTCACAACTATTAAAGTACTGTAAGTACCTAACTCGTAAAGATGAGTCGTTTAAGTCATCCTATCAAAAGTAGGCCTTTTTGACCTTCTTCCTGCAAAAACAGAAGGCCGGAAGAATGGAAGGACGTTCATAAGCGGCAGCGGTATAACTTAACATCAGGTGAGCCTCCTGCCCGTTTGCCCCCTGTTCTATAAAAAAAGAGAAAATCAGAACAAAAATAAAAACCTATTGCAGAATATACAAAGATTGTAATTAATCCGTATCATACTTATGACTGGTAATACGGACAGCTTCTCAAATATTGTTGAGTAGAGAACGGTAGAGAACATTTGTTTTAACTTTCCGTCATCTGCAACGCTTAGCTGGTACGCTCACAAGACCTACCCACTTGTGAAAAATTGAAGGACATATACAAGACCCAACGATATGTTCATTCAAAGAAGTTCCCATATTTACACACAAGACGTGGGAGCTGTACCCAATTGAGTAAATAGATAAATTCCATATCTGTTTGGTACTGAAATCGTTTGAGAAATTGACGAAATTCGTTTTTAACCAGCCAGCAGACTGGATCAATTAAATTCACCCAACTTGGATACGTTTTATCAATTTCGTTAAACGGATAAATGGATAATTGACCCCTATATGTTCATGGATCTATTGAATTAGACGACGTAAGAGTTTCCACGCTCTGCCCTTATCTAATGATAAGCCTAATTTAAAGGAATCATGAAGGGTTATGAGAAACAGTATCAGAAAATGTCCATAGTTTTTTTTATAGAACAGGGGGCAACCGGGCAGGAGGCTCACCTGATGTTAAGTGATACCGCCGCACATGGACACTCTCAATGCCAGAGGGCTTGCGAGTGCGTTGCCAGCCTTTTAAGAATTGGTACGCTCTTTTCTAAGGACCCTAAGTCGAATTGGTTCGGAAAAACTTCAGTGGGCCGCTGGTTCCACAAAGTTCCTAGTTCCTTCTATTAATTGAGATAGATATGCAGCATACGCGTTTATGCGAACTAACAATTGAACAATTATTGGAAATCAGTCGTAAATGCTATTGGAACGCAGGTCTTTAGAGTTGAGTATACAACAACGAAGATAACCCTTCTCACCAGTAAACAAGTGACGTCCTTATTTTGGCAGACAATTAGTCATTTTGTGATATCTTATAACTTAATTATGCGTGAGTTAGGCCATGGTTTCGTGCGACTCTCATCCGTAGTAGGTTAGATCCCCGGCTGTGCACCAATGCTCTTTCGGTCCATGTACGAATTCACTCGACAAATCATTCGACACTGCAAATATGTATTTATAAATTACAAGATTATAATCTACATGTGCAAAAAATTCAATAAAAGTGTTGGCCGGTTCAGCGTGTGACTCTCATCCCTGAGGTCCTAGGTTCGAACCCCGGCTGTGCACCAATCGACTTTCTTTATATGTGACCATTTAACATTCGCTCAAATTGTGTAGGAAAATATTTTATTTATTTATTTATTAACACTTTCTATTTAGTTTTAAGAAAAATAAATGATCATGAATCGGATACACAAATCTAATGCCTAGACCTAGAAGGTTGTAGCGCCACTGGTTTTATTAACAACTTAATTAAAATATGGGAGTTTTTCAACTAAATCTAATTGCACTTTTTTGTCTAAAGTACCATTTCGTCTCTTTTTGTGATTCTGTTTACTCTTTAATGAAAAGAGGTGAGTACTAAAGTTAAAGGGCAGTGTTTTAAATGTGTATTTTGACTTTCTTTCTCTTTCCATTGTATACCACACATTCTGTAAATGCGTTCTCATTGCCCTGTTAAACAGTTTCCGACAGATTCCTGAATATACGGTGAACCTAGATAAGTAATTCTTTTCAATCGAGGCATACATACAATTTACGATGTTTCATGAATTCTATACAAGCAATGTGTGTGGTTCCATTAGCCTCAAGAAGCCCACGGAGTATTGGCTGGATCCTCTTCTGGTCATATAAACAAATGATTTGCATCCTCTTAAAACAAAAGCAAGTTAAAGTACCCATACTAATAGTTGGTTGGGTCTATTTCAAGGCATTTTCTTGTTCTTAAATCAGGCAACTAAATAAGTGGGAATTACATAACGAATATGAGGGTGCAACTTGAATAATCTACAATTAGAGATTAATGTGTGACTAATTTTAATCAATTATTATTCAAGCACTCGTAATATAATTTAATATTTACAAAACTAAACTTAAACTGACCTAAACTTAGAAATCTTTAACCACGTTAGAACCATACTTATCTAAAAATAATTTAAAAAGGTAACTCGATATTAAGTATTGAGTGTGGGAAGCATCTAATAAGTCCTGGTTCGACAGACCTTTGATTCAAGGCAAGGCCAATCAATCGTTTGCTAATTAGTGTAATCCGCTGACCACGTACTGATGCAGTACAAACATTGTATGATAAAACAGGTAGCCAAAGAACTCACAATATTTTCTTGATTACAAATAAATCTTGTTCGTATAATTATTAAAATTTACATGAAATTTATAGGTATGTATTGTATTATATAATGTAAATTATACATTACTAATGTCGTATTTAATAATTTTTTTATCATTTATAATGAAATACTGTAAACAAGTTACCGCAGGCTAAAGTCACAGATTTTATTAGTCATTTGTTTTATGACCGGTTAATGTAGTTGAAACTAGGTTAACTAGATGGCGCACATATGCAGTCATCATAACGTGCCAGGGCGAGAGGGGTCCCGAACCGTGCGGGAGAGAGCGAGACCACTATATGTTATTTATACGCCTACGCTGTAGATAGAAGCCGCACGCGCACAAAAAAAGTATTCAACAACAGCGCAGGCGCAGCTATATTCACCCACAACTTCACTTCGGTTAACTCCGTCAATCGTCATTTAGTGGTGATCAAAACGTCGATGTGTGTGGTAGTGAAGTTAACTTTTCTAACATAGCATTTCACAAAATAACACTAATCTACTACTAAAGTACAATAACGTATTGACGGTGATAAAAGAAACATTCAACGTGTCTAGTTTTCTGAATAGTATTCAAAATGTGTGATAATACCAATCCTTCAACGCAAAGTATAGCGGACTACTTGGCTCAGTTGCTCAAAGACAGGAAGCAACTCGCTGCGTTCCCGAATGTTTTCATGCACATGGAGCGACTTTTAGATGAAGGTAAGTCATGATCATAGATAACAAACCGCGGAGCTAATGAGTTAATGACCTCCCAAAACATATTGAATCTAGTACGATGTGATTTAGTCACCCGGTCGATAAATGAAATGCACATGATATTAAGTTTATTTTTGTCTTCGCTCCGCCGAGTTATGGTCCAGTGAATTTTGTAATGCGATCCTCGTCTCAAAGAGTGAAGTAAAGCAGAACGTCTCTGGATAAGTTGCGGTCAGACAGCGTTGATGTTGAAACATTCAACTTATCGGTTTAGTTATGAAATGTTTATTTGATTCTAATTAGGAGTGAATGTCTCGAAATGAGGGCGCGTAAAGAGAAGGATCGCATGTCCTGTGGGGATAACCTGTTCGTAGGGCCGAGGTACATTCCGCGTAAGTTAATGGAATGTCGCCACATCGCGTAGGTACCGTAGGCGCCGTTTTCAGCCATACGAGATTTGTACGCAACTCAGGCGCACAGTTTTGACCGCTATCACCTCGGTATTCGATTTATTACTGGTTGGAATCGGAATGGATTTCTAACACCGCCGACTGATTTGTAGTTACCGACAGTTCTTGTTAAGACTTTGAAAATAGAATGCCAGTTTGAGTTTCGTTTTCAATAATTTAGTAATATTAAGGAAGTTTGCGAGTAATATTGTTATCATTACATGTATTTAAACACCCGTTGATAAGGAAAACAGTAGTTATAGCTTAAGTAAAATATATATTCGTTGTTAGGTTAACAGGTAAGATACATATCATAATAAATTAATTACTATGATTTAAATGTAAGTATTTTTTTATGTAACTGGCTGATATTGTATCTATAATTTAAACAACATTTAATATGTGAACATAAATAATACTTCATATTATATGTAGACATATTTTGTCTATACCTATTTAAAGGTTTTTTCCAACTGGAATTTTGGTTGAAATTATTAAATACTATTTAAATAAAGAAATGCAATTATTCATTCTCTGATAATTCTCATTATTATTTCTATTGTTACAAGGTTCCATTGATGGAAAAACACGTGATTACCGCTAATAGCTGAATTAACTTGGAATTATTTAAATGATCATCATTGCCTAACACAAAATGACAATTGTAATAAGCATATTATGCCATTGAATGTCGAACTGAACCTTACAATAGCTAGTTCAGTCCTAGTAAAGCTACAGAATAAAAAACTGAAGAAATACTGTATGTTTTTTTATAAAACTGTATTTCTTGCTTGACAATTCGCAAGTGAAATTGAAATGTTGATAAACGTAATCTCCTTTCACGTGTGCGCAAAATAATAACTAATCTTAATAAATTACGTTGTTTGTCCGCTATGGACTCCTAAACTACTGAACCGATTTCAATCAAATTTGCACACCGTGTGCGGTGAATTTGGCCGGTATGCTAGTCTTATATAATTTTAATTTTTATATTTAAAGATATTTTTTATATGCTACCCGAAGCTAAATTTTAATGTACTCAGTACATCTACTGTAATCTCAATCAGTATTGACGCACTGGCCATTCTAAAATCATGCAGTCAAGTCACGTCTCACCAGTAAGGCTTGACAGTTGACACCTCCATAGAACATGTCATAATATCGTAACAATTCACACTACTTTGGGAATGAAGGCCTGTGAATGTTTTCTTGCTTTACAATCGACTAGTTTTCTATATATGTAACGTTTTTATAGATTGAAATAAGGCTTCATTGACATTGGATTTTGTCAGAGTCAAAAACTTGTCTATGACTTTTTAAAAAAGGTACTTCTTTTAGGTCCCGAGGGCTTTAAGCTTTTATCCCCGGATATTTAAATAAATCTAATTTTTTAAGACAGAAAAAGGCTGCAATTAGAATTCTAATGAATCAGTTGAATAATTTTCAACTAAATTGATCTATTTGCTAAGTGTTTTCATATAATATATCAGTTATTTAGGAGATATAGGTGTTTCAATAAGGAGCCATTTGACCTCATGAACTAAAAGGCTTTATTTAATCTTAGAGAACCTGGTATTCTTGTTCTAAAAAAATCTTAGTAATAGAGCGGACTGCCAAAGTACACAGTTTTAGCAAAATATTTGTTATTACCCGAGTGTTCTGAATAGTTTCGGACTGTTTAGCCATTATGATGTCATAAAATTGATATAATGTCGCGAGCTGCTCTCACACTTGTTATATTTACTCGTATTTAAATAAGCCACTTGTGAAACATGCCAGTAGCACGAAGCTAAAATCATTTTGTACGCATGTTTCAATGGTACAAATAGTCAGCTATTTATACTGTAAAGCGTTTAATATTCATTACGGTTATAATTGCGTCATGATCTATATTGGGCCTAAATGTATTTGGACTTCTTTCTTCTTTGACTGTGTTACTGAGGATAGAGTTAGTGTTAGAAAACTTCCTCCATTTTGTTTTTGTCTATGGAATGCGCATGAGTGAAGGCAGTCACTTGGTCGGTCCAGCGAATACGAGTTCGTATTAGCTTTGTGATTTACTTTGAGTTTTTCGTTTTCATTGGGACTTCCATTTGTTTTCCACTCGATGTTTAGTTAGTAAAACGAATTTTAATATTATTGCTTTTTTCGAATGCACATCTCGTCAGTGTTAGCCTAGTGTGCGACTTTCATCCCGATCCCCGGCTGTGACTAATGGACTTTCTTTCTATGTGCGCATTTAACATGTGCTCGAACGATGAAGGAGAACAACGTGAGGAAACCGGCTTGCCATAGACCCAAAAAGGCGTGTGTCAGGCACAGCATACAGAAATCTAAGGCCCAGATCTAAAAATGTTGTAGCGCCACAGATTTTTTATTATGACATGAATATAATGACTTTCATTCGAAAGTGGTTATTCCTTACATAGTTAATAACAAATATGTTTATCATTGTTTTATTTTCGTGACCATTTTTTTCACGTCTTGCAAAAAAATCGATATTTCCAAAATTATTGCATACTTGGTGATTAAATGCACCAGAACGTGACGCCTACGCGATGGGTGAAAACAATAAAAATTTCGTAACACCGCCTTTATGAGTCTCACATTTTATTGTAATTGCGTTAAATTTGCCTGGGCATGCAAGAATACTTGTCATTTACATAACACGAGTTGTTTAACATTTGCCTTAAAAAGGCTTCGAGTCTCATTTTGATAAGTTCGTGATATGGTTGAGTCATAGGCTCCTTGCGAAATTATTCTTTTATAATCTTGATTAACATAATAATAAATCGGAATTATTTGTAAGTATGCGTATAATTGTAATTTGATTATTGTTATTAAGCAAATGAAGAAATAAAAATTAATATAAACAGGAACAAAACACGCGCCACATTTTATTATTTTACCGGATGGTGATTTCTCATAAACTTTGGATTTGGTAATGTTTTAAACACAAATTATTAATAAGAAAGAACTCGCTCTATTAACACTTATGACCTTTAGAAACGAGCCATTTTTGACACACACACTCTTAAACTATCTATTAATATTGAAATATTTAATAATAAAATCTTGATCCTTTTCACAATTATTTTACGAACATTTACGTCTTGAATGTATTTGTATGTTATGTTTAGTAAATAAGTTATATTAATATACAAAACACCATAGCTATTCATCTACTGTGGTCATATTTTGAAACTTTGCCAAATGTAAAACCGTCTGCTCCGGTTGCGGTGTATTATATATCCACGGAATGGATAAATAAGAGAGAAGGAAATTTGTTCGTTGCACACAGTACACTAGCTGTACACCATGGTTTTATACATGTTAATTTATTTATAGCATAGTTTTATACAGCCTATAGCCATGCTTGATTTAGACTACCCAAAACAAAAGCAATTATTTAATTTAAATCATGATTAGCGTAAGCTAAGCAAGGTCTTGTTTGGTTAAAAGCACTGGTGTCTAGAAGCTTTATAGTGTTTAAAAATTCAAAAGTATAGATTCCGTGGATTGATTTAAATAATGTACCATTACTACTTAAAATGGTAAATGGCGGCGAAAGAATTATTGGTTCTTGTTCAAGATGTTGGGTATTTTAGTAGTTACATTATAAAAACTAAGTAAAACTAAAAGTAACTAAGTAAAACGTAACAAAGTAACGTAAACTAAGTAAAAATTTTTCTAAGTAATTAAACAATTGAAAATCTAGAACAGTGTTACATATTTATGCATATTTGTTTACACTCTATGTGTCGATAGATTGATACAAATACAATAACTGTCGTAAAATAACAATCTCCGAACAATGTAAACACAAATCAATCATTCAAAACAGTTTACATGATAAAATATGACATAGATTGTCCAATTTAGATAATACATACATCAATGGACAATATACTTGATATTAGCAAAAGTAGCATACCAGATTTACTGATAATTTTTATCGTTACACGCACTTGGCTACAGATTAAGCACTGATAACGGTTAGAACGGAGTGTAATAGCCTTTTTACATGTTCATCAGCAAAGATTACTTCACTATTTCAAAGCTAAGTATTGATAAGTTGATTGTGTAACTTGCTATATAAAATTAAATCAGCCTCAATGAAATAATTGTAATTATCGTGTGTAGGCGCCTAACCCTGGCGTAAAGCAACTTTGCTGGTTTATTATAAGGTTGTTTTGTTAGATGTTAGCGCCCACAACGATGACCAAATGAGGGTAGCCGTGGGCAGCGTGGAGGTGTGGAAGCCAAGGCTGTTCCAGTCGTTTTTCAACACGTGACATGTGGGTAGATTAGTTATTATTAATTATGAATTAAAATAATTGTTTTGATCTCTTTGAATCTGGTGTTGGTCTTTGGTCTTTGACACAGTAAGTTTTGAAGTTATACTTCTTTAGGCGCGTTATGAAAAATTGATGAAAGTGAAATTTTACGATGCGCGCGCACCGTGACACAAAATTAACAGAACGAAGTTGCCCACGGAAGATGCTACGGCAGTGGACATAATTTAAAAACAACATTTGAATAATAATAGAATTTATGTTACACTTAATGTAGGAGAATAATAATAAATATTTATTTATTTATTTTTCAAATGTAAACTGAACTTTATTGACTATAATGACTCCTTTTCCAGTCTTAGATTATTTAATTGTAATTAATTATTTGCATGCAATCAAAAACTATTTTTAATAATGCCAAAGAAGTATAACTTCTTACGCGCGTACATAAATATACGCACCCTTTTTTTAACAAAATTCATATAGGATCGTAATTTTAAAAAAGGTATAATTCATTAACGTTGAAAACAAATGGTGTCAAATAATGAAATTAGCTTTGTTCACACTTATATTTAAAACATATAGCGGCTTTAGTCAGTCGACTGTTCGTGATCCTTGATCTAGATTAAATCTGATATTTCATAATAAAAACATGCCTTCAGTTTAATGTATGTTTTGATTCGAGTTTTTGCACCCAAAGCAATTATTTATTTTGTCATGCAAGCTAAAATACAGCTTAAAAGAATATTTTCTTTCGTCATTATCATCTCGACCTCGATAAGGCTGCTGTATCATAGAAAACTGGTTCAGGCAACAATTCTTCGTCCGTTCCCACGAAGCCAAGTAGTTATATATCAGTGGTAAATCTACGACGTGAACATTTTTAACGAGATCAGTTTTCTTGGATCAAAGTCCACGCATCTAGAAAATGCATACAATATAAGATTCGGCGCCAGAACTGTGCACTTGAATGGGTCACCTAGATAGCTCTAAGAATGATTCTAAGAAATATGTATAGTATTTCGATCAAGGAAAAATCTAAACGGCTATATATTGCCTAAGTTATGGGCACAACCGCCTCCTAATTTAGAAGAGATTTATTTGAAAAGCCTAAAATGAATGCAAAAATCTTAGTAATGTAAACGAAAGTTGATTGCCAGTCGTACTTGAACGCCCAAAGAATGTACGGAAGGGTCGCGTGGGCAGAACTTTGAAATGAAAACCGACTTCAGAACGACAAAAACCAGTCTAGTGGGTGTGACAGGGCCTACGCAGAGACTGCGTTTACGCACTTAGATGCCGTAATATTTGGTCACCTACACAGCTTTTACCGTCCATTGTTCTCCAAATTGACTTTTTTATTTAGATTTCATCTTGACTTATTAAATCCCGGGCTTTTTATGCCAATGGTTTAGCAACGAATGCACCAGCTGTTATTCTTTAAAGGTTATTTTATCTAGCTATTAAGGACCTCGGCTGTAATACTAATTATAATAACTTAGGGACTACAAAACTATAATATAATGATTCCGTTATAATTAAATCTAATTAATTACAAAAGTAATAAGTCCATTATCTATATTAATTGATATAAAGATGAAAACACAAAGAAAATATGAGACAAAACTCAAACATTTACCTTGAACATGCGTATACCCAGTAGTATTACATGTTCTTTTTTTAAATATTTGAAAAACTATTGGCTCAAGTCGGCGGATAAAAAGCAACGGAAGTTCTCTTTATCTGCATCGCAAGCAATCATGGGTGCGTTCAACGGACGTCCCGAGGTTGGCAAGAAGGACATAAAGAAACCGTGACAAAGATTATTTTAGCAAACTTTAAAGCGGAAAATAACGTCTAGACAATGTACTGTTATTGTACTTAACAATGATTTGTATATCTTAGAAATCATTGCAGTTAAAATTGTATGGAAGGGTTTTATAACTACATCGTTGTTTGATTGAATTAACAATAGTTTTATAAATCATAAAAGAGGTATTTGGGAAGTCAAAACTTTAGTTAAAGCGGTATTTGGGTCATAATTATGTTGTTTAAATGAAATGTCGTTGAAATGACACAACCGTTCCAATATTTGCGTCTTAATTTCAAGGCGTTTATGTAAATATTACAGTAAGACCGGAGTTGAATAATCAATCTACTTAATTCATCGAGATATCTGATAAACATACCAAAATCATTATGTATATATTACTATATATAATTGCATAGCAGTATTGGCCTAGTGGTTTCAGAGTGCGACTCTCATACCTGAGGTCGTAGCTTAGATTCCCGTCTGTGCACCAGTGGACTTTCTTTCTATGTGCGCATTTAACATTTGCTCGAACGGTGAAGGAAAACATCGTGAGGAAACCGATATGTCTTAGACCCAAAAAGTCGACGGCGAGTGTCAGGCACTGGAGGCTGATCACCTCCTTGTGTGTGATTCTTTTGGTCTAAGGATGTTTTCCTACACTGTACGAAATGTTAAATGCGCACATAGAATGTCCATTGGTGCATTGGGGTTCGAACCTACTACCTCAGGGACGCACGCAGAACTAGGCCCTATTGTGGTTGTAACTACGTCTACGTCTACGCCTTCAGTCGCCTTAAGGCCCTATCCCAGCACGAATTGCTGTGTCTCGGGGTGGACTGCGGTGCCCAGTGGAGAGCTGGTACACTGAGGCGCGCCGACCAGTAATAACAATAACTTAGTTATGTAAAACATTAAATAAATGTAATTTTATCAATTTTTTTTTTCTGAAATGGATTACTTGGCTTGTGTTAAAATATATCGTGTAAGTTTCAAAATCATGTTCCATAATATACATTTTCGACATAATATGAATTCAATGTGTCAAAAATTGGCTATGTTTGGATTTTTTTTCTATTGAGTGAAGTTATTTAAATCGTGTATCGATCTTTCAAAATGGATACATAAACTACTCAACTCCACCATATATTTTTTCCATTCGTCCTACTTTAAGAAACGATGTCGAAAAATGAAAGAAACAATATACTTTTTTGGGGTTTGGCGACCGGATAGGTCCTAAAAGTCTAGAATTTATTTTAAATAAAGCCGTGCATTGGTATTTATGATATAAACAGTGTTTGACCTAAATAGAACAATGGAAATCTCCGAAAATGTTTAAATTCGTGTTGGTACCATAGAGATAATTTTTCGTCTGTAACCTTCGTGTGACATGGGTTAAGTTACATGTAAGTACTTAAAGCATTGTGTTGCCATACAATAGAAATAATAATGTTCTTTTCAAGATCGCGATGCAGTTTTGTTTAACTGTTTTTTGTTTTTAGTACGATATATACACAACGCTTTACTCTAATGAGTGTACATACGCCAGCAACGCGTTTCTATATATTTTTGAAGTTATACTTCTTTTGGCGCGTTAGGGAATAATGATGTGTGTAAATTTTTACGCGCACACAGTCACCCTGACAACATTTTAGTTTTTTGTGATATTTAAATAAACTTTATTTATTTATTTATTGATTGATTTATTTATTTATTAACGAAACTAAACAGATACATCTCTATACAGTAAATAAAATAAAAGTAAAACATAAAATAAACACATTGGACATATCCACAAAAAGTTTCACTGATAAAAAATACAATACAAAGTAAAACAAGACAAAACATGAGAGCACAAAATTTATGAATTAGGAGAACGACAAACAAACTAGCAGCTATATAATAAAAAAAACAAGGAAGATTAAGACATTAAGTGCTTTAACTTATTCTTAAATGAAGCAGTAGAGGAGTGCGAAAAAGGGTCAATGTTAGTGGCAGAATCCAAGGCAGAACACATCCTGTGAAGAGGCTCACGAAACCCAATGTTGGTTCTGGGAGTCGGAAGGTTAAAAGTTCTGTGCGAGCGCAGAGATCTGGCAGGAACATTAAATGGTATCAGTTCGAGACAAGTACAAGTTATTTCATTTACACATATTTTTCTAATAGTGACACAGTCTGTCAAATTACGCCTAGTACTCAAAGAAAGTAATTTATATTTTTTTTGACTAGACAATGCATTATAATAAAATTTTCAATGTATTAAATACCTTTTTTCTATTGTTATTGTCGTTTTTTCTACAAACGTAGAATACATTTTTGAAAAGGTTTTTATCTTGTTACGCCAAAGAAGTATAACTTCTAACGCGTGTACATAAGTACACACGAGACCCCGGCACCGACCGAATCGCTACATCCGAACCTTTTGAATAGATGCTGGTTTCCCTCTAAGAGATTTTGGAGTAGAATTTAATAATGTGATGTAGATTAGTGGAAATGAATATCAAAGGCTTTGTAGGCACGTTTGTGAATTTTTTACCATTATTACTTTATAGCTTATTTGCCCCTTTTTGCTAAAATACTTCCACAAAATTGTACGTAAACTTTCCACGTTAGTTTAGTTTTGCCTACAAATCATTTTCATTATTTTCGTCCAAAGAGTCGTATTTATCTCAAAAAAATAACGCTTAAACGGTCAAATTGTAATGTTTAAAAAAGGTCCTGTTACTCATAGACAATTTATTTGCTTTTCATAAAATAAAAATGTAAACCTAACAAAAATTTACCTGTCCAATTGTTTTAATATTGATAGAAAAAGGTTTCGTTTGATTGTGATTGGTCAAACGGAAGACGGACCGTTGGGAGTGAGAATGTAAAAAGCAAGACGAAACGTTGCTCTGTGATTGGTCAAATTAACGCAATACCTTGTCGCATGTCAATGCGTATTGGAGAGATGCTGTGAAGCGCTGACGTCGCGTCGTTTTACATTTTACTTTCTAAGCCCATTGATTGGTCCCCAATCGTGATTCGTTCGTACTTCAGAATTAGATAAAATGTATTGACAGCTTATGACCTATTTCGCGAGTTAATTTGTAATAGTGTCATTAATAGAAATTGTTTGATTATTGTGCATTGTGCTATTTGGCCTTCACGCGATTCTGCACTCCTGCGCATATAACCTGTTATGTTTACG